TATAAACTAATACTACTAATACTTATTATTACTATTATATAAAAGTTAATTACTAAATATAAAGTAATTATATAAATAGAAGATTTTATTAACTATATTATAATAAAAAAATAAGATAAAGCTAAAAATACTTAATTAATAGAATTACTAATACTATAACTTATTACTATTTTACTAAGTAACCTTAAAGAGTAAGTAGTAATATTTATAAAATAAATAAGAAATATAAAACTAAAAGAATAAGTAAAAAGAGTAATTAATAATAAGATAAAAGAAAAATAAATAAAGATAAAGGAGTATTCTAAATAGTATTAGTAATTTGCGAAGGGACTATTTAAAATAGTAATAAATAAATTTTACTTAATAATTAAAACGGATAGAATTATAAAATATATAGCGAAAGTAAAGCTATATATTATAATATATTAACTATATTTTATTTATAAGGAGAGAAAAAAAGTAACTGTAAGAAATATAAAGGTAAAGGCTATAAGAGCTGTGAATACACTAACAAAGAGACTTATGCGAGTTAAGGCTTTTATTATATAGAAAATTAACTTATTAGTTAATATATCTAAGCCTACTATTAATTAATAATTAACGGAGAAAATTACGTAACTTAAGGCTATTATATAAAAGATTAAGTTATTAGTTAATGTATTTAAGCTTACTATTAATAAAAAATTAGAAGTAGTTATTAAGAAGTTTATTAAAAAGGCGATAAAAAGGTAACTAAGTTTACTTATTGATGTTAATGGTAATAGTAAATAATTACGAATTAATAATGAAGATAAGGATAAAGATAAGGATGAAGATAAGGATAAAGATAATAATAAAGGTAATACTAAAGATAATGCTGAAGATAATAATAATAAGCCTAGCCCTAAGCGCTGCCTTATAGAGAGTAATAACTAAAAGCAGGCTAATAATATTTTTAGTAATAATATACTATTATAAGAACTATGGGATCTAGTTAAGGTTTAATAAACTCTACCTTACCTATATATTAACTTAAGGTTATTATATTTTTATATAAATAAATAATAGGCAGATTACTATTTTTATATTATTAATTATTATAATATATTAGTTTATTTCTATAATTTTAGCTATATAGTTTTTATTTAATATATTTACTTTTACTTCTTTAATAAATAAACTATCTTTTCTATTTAGTTTATCGCCGTCTTATAATACTGTAGTTAATAATGCGCCTGTCCCTTTATTCACTAGGTCGCAATTTAGCAAGTCAGTCAGGCAGTGGGAAAATTTCCTTTATTCTTTCGTTTCTTTCCATAATCAAATAATTCAGCATGGAACTTCCTTGTCTGGCAAATATCGCAAGGCAGTTTATAATAAACAACGCACGGCGTATATCTATTCACGCGGGCCTTGCTTGGCGAAAACGCCCTGGGAAATTAGCTTATGGTCGGGACGACCATTATTTTTGAAATGCGGTATATCAGTTTATCCCCTGTGTCTGGGAGACATTTGGGCAATGACTATTTCACGCAATTAAGTTTGCAGTTAACCAAGGACAGAGGATTGATTAAGATAATTATATTTTTTAAAACAGGGGCAGTTGTTATAGTACTATAACAGATAGATACGTAGATAGTATTAGTCTTTTAGCCTAATACTATAGTAGATAGATAGCTTAAGTTATATATTATAATATACTATTATACTTCTTTATATTATCTCCTATTCCCTTTATATAGTTAATATTATTTATATTATACTACTAATTTATTTAGAAATAATAATTTTAGTTAACTTTTTATAGCCTAGCTAGTTTATTAACCTTATTATCCTTCTTAATCTAGGTAACTGGAATAATAATAATATCCTTAGCCTTAAATTTAGTTATAAAATTAGTCTTATAATTAGTCTCTGGGTTAATTTTAAAGGTAATAGTAGCTATTATAGTAGCTATTATAGCAGAGGCTCCTATGGATTTTCTTAAAAATATTCCTACTAGGAGTAAAATTTATTATAATTAAGCTTTATAATTTTAAAGGTTTTATATAGAGTTATTAAGTATATAATAAGCTAGGGCGCTATATTATAATTAAATATAGATTAATAGGATTAGTAGTATATATATATAAACTTTAGTATAAGTATAAATTACTATAGTATAAATAAAAAGACTTTTTATTTAACTTAGTTAACTATTATATTTATAAAATTACTTTAGTAAATAAATAAATAATTATTAAAATAAAGTAATTACTTAAGATATTATACTTCTTAAAACTTATACTTTTAGTATATTACTTCTAGGGTATATAATAATTAGAAAAATATTATTAATAAATTAATAAATTTTAGTAAATATAGCCCCTAAATATTAATTATAAGTTAGTTAAATAAATATAGTAATAATAGAATTTTATATTTATATTAATTTAGCTAATAAAGGATACTAATTAAAGTTAGCTATTATTTATAAATTAACTAAAGAATAAAACTTTTAGGAATACTTACTAAACCCTATAATTATAATAATAAATACTACCTATAGAATACCTTATCTACTCCTCTTCTAACTTATTATTAACTATTCCTTTACCTAATTTATCTTTATTTATATTATTACTAATATCCTCTATAGCATTATCTAAAATACTACTATCTCTATCTCCGTTATTATTAGCATTAGTTCACTCTAGCGTATTTAGGATAGTGTAAACTAAGTTTAGTCTATCGCGCTCTACTTTCTTATAATTATCTACGTCCTATTTTATACTATCTAATTAAAGTATATTAGATCGTAATATAGACGCAGAAGTATATAATAAATAAAGATCGCAAAATAAACGAATTTTTACGTTCCGATGATATAAAAATGGAGTTTCGAGGTGGAGGAGAAAATGGATTGAGATTTCGGAGAGGGGGCAGCTATATACGGTACTGCCCAAGGGCTGGGCTTTCCTTGGATTGCTGAGAGTTTCCCTATTACATATAGAAGGGAACAGTCTCAATTTCGACCGGGACCTTTGAGAGATTTGGTTTCTTGTTCGATTGTTTGGCCGGGTTGATGAGGCGGCCCTAGAAACAGGCGCTGGTATACATCTCTTGATTGCCTAGAGTAGAGTATAGAGTCGGCAGACCACTGGCATCCCCGCTAAGGGTTGTATAATAGTCAATCTTCTTGCGTTATCAGATAGACTTGGTTTTCTGGTCATATGATGCATTTTCGTCTGGATGCACTGCAATAGTGGTTGATGTCGTGATGTTGGGCCCCGGTGGCAGAATTTGGCGGTGAGCCATGAATGTGGGGCAAGGATTGCTGTATGGGTAATGTCCCAAATAGGCAATGATATATAGGTATATCGTCAAACCGCTGACCACTGGCAGTTTGACAGGATTTTACGGCATGAGGATTGATGATATCGAGTAGATAGTATTTCCTATTCATAATTCTACGTACTTTACTTCTTGGAGAGATTCGGGGTCTGCAGCTTAGAGCTGCGTTAGTCAATTTGTTGGCATCCCCCGCGACGTTGAACAGCACACATAATTCTCTTTTACGAAGAACTGGAGCCGACTGACGGATAATGATTCTGAGATTGCGGAGCTGCCTGTCGATTTTGCCTTTGGCCCGTCAGGGGGACGCAGTGGAGATGATTTGATGCAGGCAACACGTGATACTGCTACATAAGGACAAGTGATTCAGTGCACATTTTGAGAGACGGGGCTGGAGAGAGGGAGGAAGAGAGGAAAAGATAGAGGATATAATTAGATTAAAGCGGAACGGACAGGCATGGGATTATAAAATAGATGTGCTTTGATTCGTAGATTGGGAGTTGCAGTCATGGTTTTGGTCCACTGTGGATGCGGTTGGACAAGGAAGACTTGCCGGCCTGGCAATGTAGCCTTCTAATGACGCGGTATTGGGGTCTGTGTCCGCCAATGTTTGACAATGAACATCAATAATGCGCCGCCGAGCCAGTTCATGACCAGTGAGAACATTGGCTGCTTTGCCTAGCCAACATGTCATGGAAATAGCCGTTTAGAAATCCACTGTATCTATGTTTCGCTTCTTCTTTTGACTTGGCGAAGTCAAAGTTAAACTATTTACGTGGGACATCTGGAAAAGCATAATACAAATAACCTGCTCCGTCTAGTCGATGCATTCTCATCGCATCATTAATTCCGATTTCAGACTGAATTTGTTAAGTCGCCGCTGCGAACGAACATGACATAGAGAAAGAAGGGGGATACGCGGCCGGCGCCCCTTCCGTAAGCTACCTAGGCATCAACTTTTGTAATTTTAGTACCTACCTGGTAGCTGACTGTCTAAGTGGTGCGGCAATTTTGGCTGATGAGAGCTACTAGGTACCAAGATGAACTATAAATGCCACCCAAAGATTTGCAGTAAAGCCTTATAGGCACCTAGTAGTGATACATTGCTATAGTGTCTGAACTGTGCCGGAGGGGATTGCTAACCGGCACACTAAGTTGGCTGTACAGTATCCCATATCAAAAAATTCGCAGATATGGGTACGGTGAGAAAGTAGCGATAGTAGAAGAAACAGGTACTAAGTAGCGATAGCGGAAGTGGGTATCTGGTAGTGATGGTAGCAGAAAGTATAGATAGTAGCAGAAGGTATAGATAGTAGTAGAAAGTATCGATAGTAGCAAAAAGTATCGATAGTAGAAGGCGTGAACCTTAAAGAATCAGACAATTAGCAGTCGCTAGGATGCTAAATAGCTAATTCAGGTGCCGACTTCCATTAACGATACTTTTGCCATTAATACCTTCTCGTCATGAAGCTTCGAGCTCTCAACGAAGAAGGCATTTTGAACCTTTATCTGAAAAACCTAGAAGCTGGTTGATTCCAAGATTTTCATTATTCTTTGCCTAGGTATATAAAGGGCGACATGGACGCATAGAGACCATCTGTGTCCTCCTCAAGACAAATACGCCTTACTTCTCCCCCATATCACCAAGGAAGTCAAAACTCCCAAAAACGTGTAACAGTGCAATCACAATGTCGCTGGAATCAACGCATCGCCCCTATTCTCCAGGGGAGCAGGAGAAAGCCGAGTACTATGACGGGTTGCGCAATCAACCTAGGCTGATTGCCCGGACAAGCGCCACTCTCTTTGTTCCCAATAGTAGTCGCGATACATACTACTTCGACAAACATTACAAGCAAAGGGAGCCAATCACCTGTCACGAGATAATAACGAAATACAGTCAAGCTTTTGCGGCGGGCATCATATCTATCTTGGGAGATTACCCGTGGCATCGCTTCTATCTCATTCGCATAAAAGACGAGATGGTCATGGGAAGACCTGTTGTATTCGTCATCGAGACGCTCACAGACTCAGAGTCTTGGGAAGAATCTATCGAGGTTGCGCTATCTTATCGAAACGCCATTCGTTCGATGGGAATAGCGGATGTCGAGGTCGAGATTCAGCAGGTGACTCAAGAACCATTTGCTACCACCAAAGAACTAGACGCCTTCATAGACACCGCCTCCAAAGCAGTCGCCTCCACGCCATCCATGGTGGGAGAGCACGACAGTCGAGTGCTCCTCTAGGAAGCCGTTGAGAATGTCCTTCCGTTCTCGTCTCACATTGGATGTGAAATCCACAACATAGAGTCTGACAAATCGGGCACTATGGGTCTTCATCTACGATTAGGAGATGAGGGCGCACCCTACGGTTTAACATGTCGACACGTCGATCTTGAGAAGCCCTCTGATACGTCGGTCGATATTAACATTGACATTTCGGGCGACAAGACTATGTTGGTTCGGCAGTGAACCTCAAAGACAGCAGCGAATCTAGTTGACGACGGAGTTGGCCTGGAAGATTACTGCAGAAAGATGTACGAAGATCTGGCAAAAAAGATATACGAATGGGATAAGTGGTATAGCGCAACGGAAGAGACCGCAGAGGCTAAAAAATCTCGTCCCAACTTCTGAAGAGCGAGAGCTTCTGCCGAAACTAGGCAGTCTTATGTCCTAAGTCACCTAAGCGGCTAGCCTCATACTGCCGATGCTGTATAAATCCTGAATTATTAGGCACGTGGCTTATGCACCCTTATATGCGAAATTATTGCGAGAACTGCTTTTAGTTGGGCCTTGGTTAGGCTAGATATAGTTAATAATCTTACTGCTTAGCGTATTAACAAGGTGTTTATTGGCTATTAAGAGGCGGGAATACGTAATAACTGAGTTCTTGTGAATAATATAAAGAAATAACAGCAATTTATGTTGAGAGATTTGTTAAAGCTATTAGATTACATAAGCTTTGATAGATTCCTTTAGATTACTGGAGTTGTCCCTACGCTGATAGATGGGAAAGCTGTAAGGTTAGCGGTTGGGTTATAGTGTATAAGTATAAATTTTAGTTTGGATTTTAGTTTTAGTATGATAAATAAAGTACTGGCAGTTTGATAGGATTTGACGGGAGAAGGGCTGGTAGTATAGGAGTGGATTGTCTTTGGTGACAAGGATCGGACCTGCTTTAGTGCTAAGGGAGATTCGGGGACCGCAGTTTGGGACTACAGCGGTCGATTTGTTGGCATAATAACTGGTGGTGCTGCTATATCAGAGACTCCATGTCACTTCATGCACAATGCTCCAATTGCAACGGAGAACGATGCTGAGATTGCAGAGGCTTCTACCAGTGCGCCTTTTGGAGTCGATGCCCAAAGAGATCTAACTTTATCATGACGGCAGAGTACCTTTTTGAGAGCATCGAGAAACTCACAGGACGAACGCCGCATATCCTATAGGAATATAGCTATAGTAGCAGATATTAGAGGAATCTAATCAAAGTACCATATACTAGAGAAAACTGCTATAATATCAGATAGTAGAAGAATGTTGCTGTAGTAGCAGAAAGTAATGACAGTAGCAGATACTCAAAATCTTTCGAACAGACCAATCATGCTATCTGCAGCTTAGAAGAGTATAAATGGACGAAAAAGAGTATCACGAGTAAAGGCAGCTCGAGAAAACACAAATCCCAAATTCTAAACTATATCCATCCAATCTGATGAAACTTTATTCCTTCCGTTTCCATCCTCGAATCACGTCCATATGTGACTTACTTCTGTTTGGCCCAAGCCATCGCTCCACAAGGGAGCTGTAGATAATCGTTGTCCAACATGGAGGCCTTAGTAGTTGCTATGGGGTCCCAGTATGGAAGGTTAGAGAATCACTTCAGTGCCGGCAGAGGTTCGGGCTCTACGATCTGAGGCCACAATGGCTGTTTCATAACGCGATATGGGCGGCGGGTGTTTGACTATGTGTGAAGTGAAACTAGGATCACATTCACGCTTCAACTCGGGGTGAACCAAATAAAGCTATGCTATTGGCTTTGTATAGAAACATCAAGCGGTGCTCAAGGAATATACCGCATAGTGGATCGGGGAATTATTACAGAAGATGATCAATGCCAAAGGACTGGGATCTTATTTTATATATCTGAATTTACTATATCAGGCAAGCTATAAGACTATGCAATTTGTGATAGCGATGGTGAGATGAAATAAATAACCAAGACTGAAAAGCAGATGACGTTCATTCTTAGAACCGAGTAGACTGGCTGCATATGATGCGCAACCTTTAATATACTATGCGAACCTTATGGTTGAAGAGTTTCCCTCCTACTTCAGGCACCTGAACTAATTCTAGTTTAACAGCACTCCAATATGGCAGTTAAACTTCACAGTTTCGCAGTAAGAACTGTATAATTAGGGTGTGACGATGTTAAACGCCGAGTTGGGAACTTCAACGAAAGACGTAATGACATCCCAGTTCCCGGTGTCTCCCACGGTAACAAGATCATATTGGTCGAGCTTGGTGGGTTCACCGGCCGCCGCACTTCCAACAATCTCCACGAGAGTCTTGTGATCAGTCCATACCGTAAGTCCGACATTCTTATCCCGGGGCTCCGAAGGAGACGCATATGGGACGGCGAGTCCAGTCAAGGCTCCGTTGCTTAGCCTCAAATGCCACCCGGCCTTGGTCGATTCCAATCGTTTTGGCATGTCTTGCACCATGAAATCGATGGTGACACCAGCGTGCTTACCCGCATCTGGCCCATACAGACGTATGGCAAGCGTGTCAAACAGTTGATCTAGACCCAGAGCGATCAGAGACTTGGAATCCATCGTATTGAGCACTGGCTGAGATCCGTTTCTCAACTCGTAAGCTCCAACAAGATAAAAGTTGCGCCAGGTGCCATTTTCTGCTCCATATCCTAACTCTTGATAGACCTCAGCTAGCACCGACTTTGCCTCGTCTTGATTGGGAGACTGTGAGAAAATGATATGGTTTAAAAGAGTTGCCGCGAAACGCAAGTTTTTACGGGCCTGGTAATCTCGGGCCAACTGCAAAACTTTGTCACTTCCTCCCATGGACTGAACGTATTCGGCTGCCTCTTCAACAGGAGGAAGTTTCCACAGATTTGCCGGGTTGCCATCAAACCAGCCCATATACTTGTCGTAGATTCCTTTGACATTGTGGCTGACAGAACCATAATAGCCGCTCAGATTCGTCCGCAAAGCCAAGTTCGGAGGTGTTTGGATGTCTTCTGCAATTTCCATTGGAGTACTGCCGTTATTCATCATCCGAAGCGTTTCATTATGAAGATAGGCATAGTAGTCGCGCTGTTCTGATAGGAAGATGTTGACTAAATCTTCGTCACCTTGCTTCCAGGTGGGCCAATGGTGGGTGGCGAACACCACATCAGTCCTGTGTCCAAATAGAGAGATGGATTCATCGAGATACCGTGACCAGAGTCGAGCATCACGAACTGGCGCACCTCTCAGGGTCTGAATATTGTGTAACGTATGGTTTGCGTTCTCGGCCATGCAGAGAGCAGAGTAATCCGGGAAGAAGAAGTTTACTTCTGCAGGAGCTTCCGTACCGGGCGTCAGTTGGCAGATAACCTGCAAGCCCTGAATGCCTGGCCTGAGCGCACCATCGTTTGTAATAATCTGGTTCGGTGCAACTAAGCTGCTTGCCCCCGTGGATAAGGCCTGTCCAAGGCCACAGCCGATCTGGCCAGTGGGCGATTTATCCAATGCTTCTCCATACATGTAAATGGCCCGACGGGACATTGCTGACCATGCGTACACATTCTCGCTCACTGCGTGTTCGAGGAAGCCGTCTGGGCCAATAACTCGAATATCCGGGTTATTCGCAAGTTCTATGACGGCCTGTGCGCCACCGAAATGATCAGCGTGGCAATGGGTATAGAAAAGAGCGATGATTTCCGGTTTGTGGCCATGCTGACTTTCATGATACTCCTGGTATAGCTTAAGTGCTTTGCGCGCGGTTTCAACAGAGGTCAAGCAGTCGATAATGACGATTTTATTTGTATTCGGGAGTTGAACAATACTCATGTTGGCCAAGTCAAGCCCGCGTACTTGATAGATACCATCAACAACACGATAGAGACCAGGCGTTACGCTGCAGAGCTGGCCCTGTCTCCATAGAGAGGGGTTGGCAGTTTCGGGACAATCGTTCTCAAGGAAATCATAAGCTTGCGCATCCCAGACAACTATATTATTGGTGTCTGAATGGATTAATGGATCCTGTAAAGGTGCTACCAGCCCGCGTTGGGCGAACTCAAAGTCGTGGTTGTTGGGGTCCATCTTAATGAAGGTATTCAGAGACATTTTGTTAAGAATGAGATGGGGAGGGAAAACGATAGAATGATTTTTTTCCGATGCTAGATATCGAGTTGTATCTTCCCATGTGCTGAAACTATCAAGAGGAATGCGGATCCTTTATACCCCAAAAGCCACACATACTTTTACCTCTCTCATTACGCAATCATGTAGTCACGGGCGGAAGAGGTTGTTAGTAATTCAACGTAAAGCATTTATGAGTAATAAAACCAACGGTTTCCTATGGTTTCATTCGTGGCTTTGTATAATTGGACCGCGTAGGGGTAGTGTTTAATATGCTTATGTGGTCTCGCAGGATATCACATCTCTAGGCGGTCAACTATCTAATGAATGCAGGGAGTTTGAAGTAATTGGACGGATATATAAAGTCGCGTTAGCCTCATGTCTCTGTCTGCCTATCATTGAGTGTATATGGCCAAGGTATCGAGCTTAGATGAATGTGAAGTCATGCAGTGATATTGCATTGCCTCTATCATCTGCATGCATGTCATTCCTGCAAGCCAGGGTACAGCCCAGTAAGCAGCATCGACTTATAAAAGATGAATCGGATACATCCGATCGGATGCACCACAAGTGAGTAGGTATGGTGAAATGCTTCCCTGCACTGTTTTATGCTAGAGTGTAGAAGATCTCGAAACAAGGGCCGATAAAGGAAGAAGGCTTAGGATTCACCAAGGTTTGTTGTTGTGTGTAATCTAGCACGGCATCACGGTTGGCCCGGATAAATGATATTAGCTGCTAGATTACGAGAAACACAGTTATTGCCCAATCCCGACCCATCTGTCCAGTTGCTGGGTGGCTGTTTTGGTGTAATTATTTATGCGCGGAGATATGAGCCTGCTCGTCTTTGGCACTACTTGTATAATTAAGGCACGCTGCAAAGTCTCATTACACAAGAGAAAACAGCGGAGTCCATGCATGTCTCACATATTATTACGTTGGACATTGTTACACTGCAGCATGCAGCTGATGTAATTCGTGTTACCTCTGCAGAATATGCGGAACCAGAAACATGACTTGGCATTAATTCTAGCCCATGGAGAAAGGATTCAGATTGCTAGTAATGTGAGACAATCACACAATGGTGCTACTCAAACATTCCTCTTGAGAGACGTGTTGGAGCCTGCGAAGATCCTCAGGACACGCTGGAAAACCCAGTACACGAGATACACCACAGCCATGTGTTTATTGCTGGGCTTCACAGCGGGGCGTGCTACCCATGTAAGATCCGCGATCCCCAATTGTCTAAGAATAGCCTCGCCACGGACATCAGCCCCCTCCTTGTCCTGTGCGACGAGCCGTGACAATGACGGCGCGCAATAACTGGCTGCATATAGGTACTAGCTATAGGAAAAATCGTTGTCGTTTAATCGAAACCCCACAATGTAGAGGCAGAAGCTTATGGCCTCCGGAACTCGTGTTTCCCCGTCTTATTCTACACTTTAAGCTTATCCGGACAACAGCTTCTATAATAGGAAGTAGAAGCGGAATCGCTTCCCAGACGCTCCACTTTCTTAGCAGACGCAAAAGACTCACAGCGATCGCCATGGTAGTATGAAAGCAGCTAGTATAATCTTTTTGTAGCTAAATTCTTTCTTATACAAACGAATATGACCATCTAAGAGGTATTAATAGACTAGCAGTACTTGAAAACAGAGTACTGATGCATTTGTGGGCCGATTCCTCTCCAGAATTGGGCGATGATCCGACGTCTGGAAAGATATATAAAGGGTCTATTTCCCTTGTGTCTTGGGAAATTCTACAACTCTTGAAGCGATATATATCTGTATCCTTGGCCACTCTCCAACATGAAGACCACTACTACAATCCTCTGCGTGGCCCTTCCACTTCTCGCCAGCGCGGCCCCTCCAACCCTCAACAAAAGGGTGATGTGCAATGTCTTCAACAACGACGGCGCTGTGCACTGCAGAAGCAGCCCGAAATTTAGCGCTAAATCAGTGACTACGATTGGTGACGGAGATGCTTGGGACTTTTCCTGCTACAAGTCGGGAGACTGCTACGAAGGGGTTTGGTACGTCTGCCCCTCGGCTCATCATGAATGCGAGTAATGGCTAACACCAACTATGACCAGCTCTTGGGACTATAACTGGGAATTGAAATGCTACATCAATGGGTTTTATACTTCAGATCAGTGCAACTCCAGTAATGCTCTCTCCTCCCTGACTATTTCCAGTTCTGAGACTGACAATCTGTGACTTTGGTGCAGAAAACCTCCCCAAGTGTTGATGAGTATAAAGGGCGTATTCATATGGGCCTGGAGGGTATTTTATAGAGATATAATGTCACAATGAATATGAAAAGATGGAATGGATATTAGTATATCTCGAGGGCAATTTCTTGGCGCGCAGAGCCCAATATACAATGAGAATACTTGTTCAGCACCCCAATTTTGCTATCTAACTCCTACATGAGATCTCTTCAGCTGTCTACTACTGTCACTTCTTTGATCTATCATTGCTGTTCTTTCCTAGTATCACTACTATTTTCTGGTATCGCTACTCTCTTTTAGTATTACTACTAGGTAGTCTATTCTAGTAGCGCTACTCTCTTCTAGTACAGCTACTCTCTTCTAGTATAGCTACTCTCTTCTAGTATAGTTACTTTTGTTATTGTCTGAAAATCTATGATACTAGCCCTACCTCGCTCCAGTATTTGGTGAATATTATAAATTTATATTCAAGGCAAACTCTGGTCTCAATGCTGACGAGGTTCTTTTCGTCTCCCCTAAACCCATCTCGTAAATTGCGTCCTTATTAACCTCATATACCTCCCAATATACCTGTAAATTGAGTGTAGGAGACGTATCAGTATATGAGACTCGTGTCGAGCTTCCAAGGTAACTGTCCGAATATTATATTGCCTTATATAGCCCACGACACAGGTTGTCGGATATCCTATCTCTCTATTCTAAGTGTCATTCATTCTTCGAGCAATGGCCAATTAGTTAATCCCCAATTGCATAAACACCATAAGAATAGCAGCGTACCTAAACGGTTAGCATGTCATTCTAACAGATGTCGAATAGTTCTACTTACGCTGCCGTCGCTCCCAAAGCTTCAAAAGGTTTCGCTACCATTCCAAAAGATAGCACAAGCAGAAACACGACGATAAAGACAGTTATGACTATGAGCTTCGATTGGAGATTTGTTGTTGACTGAAGGATCCAGAGTGGTGTCACGAGCATAGCAAGACCAATCGTCGTGGTAATAAGAGAAATAAAGAGATCCAACCGCTTTTCGGAGAAGTAGGTGACATTTTCTATATCGTGTGCAGACAAATTTCCTCTTTTCGTTTCCCAGAGGCTCATCGTTCGAAAGATACGCGAGCTGTCCATAACGCGGCGTAGTGGCGGCTTTTCCTTTTGAACCACACATATGAGGTCGTCGTCAGTTCGGGTCTTCCGGGTAGCTTCTGTCTCAGCGCAAGCATGTTCATAGCCATTTGGATGCCCATGCACACTACCATAGTGCAAATATTGCTGCTCATTTTCGCAAATAGCACGATGAGCATGATTAGCATGCCAACGGAAAATATTTTTGATGTCTTGTGATGGAGCTGGTTTATAACATCGTAGAGTGGATTGCTGAAGTATAAATTCATCTGCGAAATAATGTTAATAAGAAGGGAAAACTTCCAGGAGATCATATTTCTCGTTATATATGCTTTATTAACCTACTATACTTTCTTAGCTTCTCTGCAATACAGGATATGAGCTCTTCACGATCCTTCTCGTCTCCCTCAAAACGTCCGTTGTGAATTTGGGCTTCACCTTCATACTTATTGTCTAATTCGTTCAGCTGTCGCTCAAGCATCACGAGCTGGTTTTGAAGGGCCAAAGAGATCCGAACATTTAGCACTGAAAAACGACGAAGGATAAAGAAGCCATCATCAGAGGAAATAAATCTCGAATACCCACGGTAGCCGACATATTTCCAAGGCACGGTCTGCTCCAGCGAGCGTCTGGTCTGAGTTTCATCCCCCACCGGCCTTGCAGTAAATTCCCCTGTGATATTACTTCTAGCAGTTGGCGGACGCGGAGACGACGAGTGGTCTGCCATATTACAAGCCTGTCCACCTTTCAGAGAGCTATAAGTCGTGGCATTTGTTGGCGACGATATTGGATATAAAAAAGTGAGACGAACAAAAGAGCAACAACCAAGGCTTGGTCAGCTTGTCCGTCTTGCATTTTGTAACGCGCAACGTCTTCTTTACTAGTGTTTGCCTCTGTAACAGAGCCTTATGACGTGTACAACTGGCTGCATATGCAGCTAATCATTCGACAAATAACGGCTTATTATTGTGATCACGCTATGTAGGATGCACCTCTCGATGTTACTCCCTGGTTAACGTGATTGGCCTACGTTCATGTGGCGGAGTGTAAACTTAGACAAGGCTTTCTCCGAGGGCAGAGGGGCTCAGCCCCAACCAACAAAATGAGCATTCAAGACGATTGGCTCACATGAGAGGCGAGGCAGAACAAAATGAGGCTGAGGCATGCAGCTGCTGCAGTAGTCAAACACAATCAGTCAATGGGATTCAACAAGATCAGGTATCTTATAAACCGTGTTCCCCCCGTTTTTTTACTAAGACATTAGAATCTTTTCCTGCACTACTAGTTATTGAATATAGCTTCCATTATCCTCTTCAAATGTCCCCGCCCCGCAAATCACAGACCTATGCCTTAGACAGGTACGGCGGGCATGTTCAACTAGATTGGGAGTACGGGTGGGCAGCTATGCGTGGGCCGCCGCCACCAGCATTGAACATCCAACCACACACTCCTGTTCAAGGGAGTGCAGTTCCGGAAGCCAAAACCCAAGGGGCAGACCATCTCTCGTCTCCTGCGGCGAATGTTCACATGAATTTATTGTCCTTCCACAGAGAGTTTACGGGGCCGCCACCACCGGAATTAAGCATACCGCCTGGCTTCATTCAAGGGAGCGTAGTTCTAGCAGCCCACCCCGAAGGAAGCGCAGCTCCAGAGGCCCATACTCAAGGAAGCATAGTTCCAGAAGCTCGCATTCGGGAAAACAAAGCTTCAGAAAAGAGTGGCAGAAGAGGCATCGCAACTCGGATTTCAAGCCTTCTTGGACTCTCATGGCTAAGACGCGGGGACCGAGAGCAGCACAAGCGAAGGAGTCGGCGGAACATCAAAGGACAAGCAAAACGAGAGAAAAGAGAAGTGACAAGATGATTCGAGGACGCAGGTAAGAAAGGGAGGCTACAACGACTGAAAGAAAAGAAACTTTGATGAACATCTAGAAGATGGTAACGGAGACGAAGAGGGTGTGGCTTCAGAGACAACATGGCTTTGTGATTCAATGCAAAGTCTGGCGAGTAATGCTGAATAAAACCGTTAAAAACAGGATACAGTTGAAAATATGGCGGTAAAGGGAGACCCATAGTCTGCTTACTACTGGGTTTTAACTCCTTCGTTATGAAGTAAATGTAGGGAAATGCTATGCAGCACCACAGTGACTGCGTGAAGTTGGAGCATTGAATCTGGATGTGGAGGAAAGTCGTATAACTATGTTCCGCTACTGTTTACTACTATAACTATATTTATCTAGGATCTGCTGCTATAGCTATATACTTTGAGTATTTACTACTATACATAACTATGGCTCGACTAGTACTTAGTATCGTCATCACGAGAAGAAGTATCTTCTATTATTTGCTACCATCATTATTGCCCTCTTTCAGCACAGAGTCCGTGAAGAGCGCCCAAACATCTTTGACCTCCACCATATAGACAGAGTTGCAGAATATGGCAACAAAAGCGTTCGTTCCGATGACGACGACGTTGATGGAGGAAAGGGAGCAGCCGAAGACGAAGATATGGAAAATGCCTAGGTATGGCGTTAAATCGGGGATATCAACCGTGTTTTGGGCCTTCGTTTGGGTGTTATCATTCATCTCACCCAAGGGGGTTTTTGGTATTGCGACTATGAGTTTCGCAAAAAAGGCAAGTTTATTTAAAAAAAACCCCCCCCCCAAAGGACATTTTCAACAGAAGATATTCAGTCGTTCAACAGATATCATCGTTCAGAGAGGCTTTTTTTTCCCGCGAGTTGATATACTGAGGTATACAAGGGTGGTCTGTCGGTAGCTAATGGGTAAAGTGTTCTTACACTATGGCACTTGGTTGAGCATAACGTCTAAAAGGAAGAGGCCTTGATGAATATGTAAAACATGGCAATGACGGGGTGGGAGGGGGGAGAAGGGGAGTGATTTTGGATACAATATGGTCTTGTGGTTTGATGCAAAGTCTGGTGAGCGGCGCTAACGAAATTGTTAAAGAGAATAGGGGATGGTGGAGAACGTAGCGGGAGAGAGAGAGAGTTACTTTACTGTCTATATACCATTGCCTTGTTGTTATTTCGTTGCAACGCAAATATAATGCTGCAATTAAACACAGCCCTCCCTCATGATGTGTATAGCTAACTGCATGTGTAGCCGATAGTTCAACGAATAAAAGATGCCACCTTCTGGACCGATGATTGGTCTACAATAATACGGTATCGTAAGACTGGGCATAAAAGACAAGGCTGCCTATAGGCAAAGGCGCAGCTCCAATTGAACTGAGGCCTAATCAATAAAAGAAGAAGAAAGCGAGGCAGAGGAGAATTGACATTGGTAGGACGCGGCCGCTTAAGATGCTTAAATAGGAGCCATTCCCCTAGAACCATCATGTCTTTCCAGCTCTCTATTCAAAAAGAAAAATGTCTTTGTAATATTTATTAATCATTATCTCTGATATCCACGGGGTCTCTTTCAAATGTTCGATTTCGGTTTGAAAAGAGGCCGAGTGCGTCCAGTCCTAGTGACTCCACGGCCGACGGCTCCACGGCCAGCGGCAGCGAGGGTAACAGCAAACTGGAGCTCTACTAAAAGAGCTATGGACGATCCACCTCCACCAAAGTTAACTACACAATCCATTCCCACTCCTAGAAGCTCAGCCCCAGAGTTAGTGGCGGGGAGCGTATCGGTACAGGCCTCGGGCTCTCTTTAACAAAAGAGTCCAGCGCAACAAGAAAGGGAAGGCCAGCTACAATGGGAGGAGAGGAGACTGGAGGCAAGGCTAGAGGCAAGGCCGGAAGAAATCCAGAGAAGAAGTGACGACGGGGAAAAGAAGAAAGAAAAGAAGAAGAAGAAGAGTGGTCTAATGAGTTTTATGCGCAGTATCCGGTTGCTGATTTATGAAAGGTCGCGAGCGGCGTTGACCGGAATGTTTAGAGAGAGAGGAAGACGTGGAAAGACACGAGGAGGGTTAAATGGATGACCTCTGCATAAGCCGAATACATTGCCAAGTCTCTAAATGAACATAAAACTGCCAAAGTAGCATTCTTTCTTTCGAGGAAGTCATATAGATATAAATACTAGTTGGAATGTAACGTTGACTATTTAACATGTCGATGACTACATGTTCAGCAGGCGATGATCATTGCGAGATGCGAGATGAGTTATCTCTACTATTTACTACTTTCTTTCTTGAACTTTCTCTAAGCTTTGCTCGTGGTCATATGAATGGGAACCAATAGGCGCCTAAAGATAGCTCCCCTATGCTACGAATATTGGTGCAGACTACCGGTGCTAGATAGTCAACTTGAGATATCAACTAACAATCTCCAAAAGCAGTAATACCAGAAACACGCATAATTACTCAATCACGAAAATGCAAAGATTACACCCAAACATAAAAAATGTCGTTTTTCTCGGCCGTTGAGTCATTTAATCATCCATATATACAAATCAATCACCCCAAGCCCTGAATCCCATCCCAAAAACGCCCATATCCATCACCTTTTCCTTTTTACACTCGCAAAGCGTCCTTATTCTTAACGATCCACTGATAACTATCATCCCTAAAATCATCCGCCAACAGACTCTGCGAATTCGCAGTCTCAAACCACATGAGCTGATGGTTATCAGTCCACTTCGGCCAATTGGCGTATCCCTTGACACCAACATTCGGATCAAGATTATACAAAAAGTTGAAAATGTATGTCCGCGTGCTCTTCATCGCATTGTTAGGCAATATGCCGTAGAAGATTTGGATAATGTCCGAGGCGTGGAACGTTCCCAAGAACGGGGTGCCGTAGTCGTACGAGGAGAGATACGACCAGATGGGCACGCTGGGGTTGAGCTTGGAGGCCACGGTGAGCTCCATTCGCCTGGTGAGAGTAAAGACGAGGTCGCCGAGCAGCGCTGCCGTGCGCTTGAAGCCCGGGTAGAGATCGTTGAAGATGCTCGTGCGGAAGGGGCTGCCGCTGGAGATGGCCGTGTCGTACGTGTTGACCAGCTCCGTCAGCTGGTTCTTTGTGGCGTTGGAAAACATGTACTGAGACAGCCAGTTGACGAGAGTTGATGAGCTGGTCACGTTGTTCTGGAAGACGGAAAACAAGGTGCCCTCGTCTTCTTGGTCACCCACAATCATGGGCACCGGATAGTATTTTCCCTGTTCTAGCAAAGCGTCAGGGCTATCCTGGAGAATCACGCCATCTGGTCTGGGCAGGTAAGACAGCCCGAGAGAGTTGTAGGAGAAGATGCTCGGGACCGAGTTGACAGCGCTGAGGAACGTGTTGTACGGGAGTTTGCGAAGACACGCCAGAGTATCCGCCGAGCCGCTGCAGCCAGCCTTGCTGACAACGTTGTTATAGACTGCCTGAGCCTTGGGAGAATCGATGCGCTCAGCAGGCGCAGCGGTGCCAGAGTTCATGATGGCACCGCGGAACAGAGGCTTGTTGTTGTATGTGGCATTGCCTCCGTACAACAGCATCTGGTCAAAGACGGACATGGCGCCGGCAGACTCTCCCCAGATGGTGACCTTGTCCGGATCACCGCCAAAGGCCGCAATGTTGTCCGCCACCCACTGAAGACCCATACGCTGATCCAAGAGTCCCACGTTGGCGCTGCCATTCTTGAGAATCTCGGCGCCGGGCATGAACCCGAAACCAGCAACGCGGTAGTTGACAGCCACGTAGATAAAGGGCTGTCCTTGGGAAACAGCAGAAGAGAGAAGGCTGGAACCGTCGTACGTGACGGTAGCGCCAAGCTGGAATCCTCCGCCGTAGATCCAAAAGGCAACGGGCAGCTTGTCGCCAGCCTTTGTCCCCTTGGGCCGCTGAACCGAAATGTTTAGACAGTCTTCCTGGCCGGTGATGGGCTGCAGGAAGGGAAACTGTAGGAAGCTCCCTAGAAGCTGGATAATGATGTTTGACGAGCCTGTGGAAATGAACATTTGCGGGCAAGCGGGAGGAAGCAAAGGAGTATTGAAAGTGCCCAAGGGTTTGGATAGCTTCTGGGGAGGAGCCAGCCTCAAGTTGCCGACTGGCGGGTCAGCGAAAGGAATTCCATTGAAGGTGTCGATGCCCGCGATAGAGCTACCGACGATGTTTCCAGAAGCAATCTGTACGCTGACGGGGGACCGAGCCTCAATCTGCTTCTCGACCTTCTCTGGAGTTGGGGCTGCGACAACAAAGGAAGAGAAGCCCAGGAGGGCGGGAAGGGCTCTGGACAGCTTCATGTTGAAGACTCAACAAAACGCTGGAGATGGGAAGAGAGGGCGAGGGGGATTTGATTGATGAGACAGCAGATAAACGTGAGATGGGGACATTGATATTGTTTATATACTTCAGCCGTGTACGAGTACGAGCTACCCATTCCGCAAAACCAATGTTGCGGGGGGTATCGCGAGTTCAGCCCACAAGGAACCCAGCCATCTCGGTATTATTTTTTCCACAGAATTCTTAGCACCGGCTGCGCTTCTACTCTTCGGATAGTCTGTCGATGAGTGCATAAACCATCTCCACCCATCCAGCAACTTACACGACTTGGCAGAGGGGGGGAGGACTGTCCTACTCTACTTTGTAACTTTCTAGCTGGCCTCGAATGCATCGGCTCAGAGGGTTGGAAAGGGAAAGGCCACAACTCTCATCACCGTTGCCGCCCACTTATTTGAAAAGAGAAAAAAAGAAAATGGAAGACTTACGAGTATTGCCAAGCCCCAGGTCGGATGGATACAAGTACAAGGGAGGGCTACACTGCATTTCTCTCTTAAGACACACAAAAAACGGGCCGTTCGTGTGTTCCCCCCCATTGCCGCGCACTGATGGTCCCGTGCCGTCCAGGTGGAGCTTGTCAAAAGCATCTCAGTGATTTAGTCGCCGCTGCTTCTGTCAAGATGGCTTCTCACCCCGCCTTTGGACAAGTGAAATTCTCTTATGAGCTGCCTAGAAGAGCCAAAGAGGCTTCTCGAGTTATGCCTATTTCCCCGTGGGGGGGAGACAGAATGCGGGGTGTAAGTGCGACGCCGACAGGGGTTGATTGGGAGCTATTGAAAGTGTGTTCGAACAAAACTCCTCAAGCAATTTGGGGGGAAGCACATGAAAAAAAAAAAAAAAGAGGGTGAAGGAAGCTTAGAAGATGCTGCAGACAAGCTCTCGATGGAGGTTGGAGGAGCCGAGGTCTGTCGTTTCTGGGGTGGCACACCACAAGTTCCTTAGTTGAGGAGTGGATAGTGTCAGCTCAGGCACGAAGATGGCAGATGCGGAGTAGTCAAGCGTCTTCCGATGCTATTGGATGCCCATGTTAAGAAACTGAGGCTGCAAGGGTTCTCGTCATGATCGACACATGTCATTGGCAGCTTGGGAGAAACGTGCAGCTGCGCAACGCAAGCCACCGGCGCCAAAGCTTAGCGGAAAGTCCAGGCCCTGCTGATCTGATCCTTGCAAGCAGCCTGTCTGACTTTGCTTTTGTCTTTGTCTTTGTCACTTTCGGTTGATTCCTTCAGGTGGCTTCACGTGTTGCTGACTTGGGTATTGTGGGTAGTGAGCTTATACTTGTGGGTTGAAGGATGAGCGGGTGGAAACGATGAAGCGGCAGAGAGAGGACGCCAAGATCAGGTATGAAATTTACACCTTACAGCTTCACATGTCTTTGTGTCGTTGAGCGTCGAATGTCTCGAACGACACGAACACGATAGTCTAGATATCACAGTAAGAATTGTCAATATTAGAAAGACATCACGTAACATGAGGTGATGTAGCACGGTAATCTCTTCGTGGCTGCATATACTCGTATCGTCGTGTGTCACGATGTAATCTCCGAGATGCTACATCAATAAACCTTCCGATGTCGCTTCAGTTGCACGAGAATTGCCATTCACATGCTTGCATAGTGTAAGTCAATCGAAAGAGATAAGATGAATTGATTAGAAATGAAAATTTGTTCAAGGAATGCATTGTTATCTCGACATGGCACACTTAATGGAACATTAAATTGGTCATGATGTTTCAAGCCGTGTATAACATCTGGCCCATGCTACCTACTATCTAAAGCTGCCTACCTAACTTGACGTGCTCGTCCGTCCGTGATATCAGTGCGCATCTTACAAACCAAGGAAGAAAAATAAAAAGAGCAAAAGCGCTGTCATTATACGTCTCGCTATAGATAGACGAGCCCATGTGTCTTTCAGCTTCGAATCCGTGAAAAGCCAAGCCTCTCCCAAAACACCTCCAATCCATCTCGAAAGACCCGACTTGTGCCTGCGCCAGCCTGTCTTAGTGTACGACCAACCCTCTTCCTTTCTACCCATTATGTTGAATCATGCATCTTCATAGAGCCTCCCACCCAACGCCGACGGCAACGTCCAAGCGTCGCCCATTAGAGTTTACCGTTTTCTTTGTCTTCTTTTTTTCTTTTCCTCTTCTCTTCTCTTCTCATACAACCACGCCCACGCGGTTTCCCTCCCCATTAAGGCACCGCTTCTTGTCAGCCATGCCGGCCTCATCCTCATCCGATTCTTCCTCCAAACTTTCTATTGTTGGTGGAGTTCCTCGCTTCCGTTTGATGTTGGCCGCTCTGGCATCCGATTCTGCTGGTTTCGACTGTGATGCAGGGCTGTCCTCTTCCCACGTCTCCATATCATTTGGGTCAAAGGAGCCCACAATGTCCTCTCCAAGGGCTTTGCCCAGGCGTTCCCGCAATCCCAAGATTGGCCAGATGGGGACCCGAGCAAACTCAATCTTCATTCCCTCAATGTTACCCTCTTCGTCGCATGGCGCGCTGGATGGGTCGTAGAATCGCTCGAGGAATTTGGCCGTAACATGTCCCGTATAAACCAGGAATTCGCAAGTCTCAGTATCGTGAGTCAGAATCCTCATCTTGACATCCTGAAAGTCGGGTCGGCGCGAGTCGCCTTTTCGTGGCCAATACGTTTCTCTTGCGAATATTTGCGTCGGCGCAGTGTAGAAATGACGCTGGGCCATGGCCAAAAAGATGCCGACGAAATGCGCATCTTGATTAGCATCTGCCGGGATAAGACGCTTCCCTCGGAGCTGCTGTAGTCGTTGGACAGGGATGTTGGGGTTGTTATCGGGACCGAGAGCCGCACGATAAATGTTTTGACGTATTGACGCCAGTTGGTTCTTCCCTATGTAGCATAACATCGGCAAGTTTGCAGTAGAGTGAGGTGTCGGGTTCGATGACGAGGATCCATAGGATTCAGCAGGGCGAGTCACCACTGTAGCGACAGAGCTCTGTGACGACAAGGCTGAGGGATTTGGGGGAAAGTTCCACAAGGCCTGCACTCTGACGGCGTCATAATAAACTTTGTCGCCGAAATAAACGTTGAGTTCCGGAAATAGCTGCGGCTTTGCAAAGGCTGCTGGCCAAAGCGTCATCAAGACGGCCTTGACAGCTGTGAATGTCGGCTTGGGTACCGACGAAGAGGGAACCAGTATTTCCGTCAGCGCCTCGCTCAGCTTGATGATGGTGTTGGACGGTCGCATATGGCCCTGCGTTGGCGGAGAGCCCGGCAAGGTGCAGGGCCGCGGCGTGTCGCAGACCGGCAGCTCACAGAAGCGCACACCCAGCAGGCTGGCATGAAGATCCGTCCAACCTATGGGTCGCAAGAAGAGGGGAGTCCCGGCATTCTGGCGGAGGATGTCACGCAGGGAGCCCTTCTTCGGGCGGCGGATTCGGCCTATGCGCCTGGCCGGACGAGGTCGCGGCGGGAGTGACGGCGGCGGTGATGATGCTGCCAGCTTCGGCCTCTGCGTCGTCGGCGGAGTCGATTCAGGCGACTCCGGCACGCTCTCGGTGTCTTCTCTGGTACCGGACGAGGCCTGCATGGAGGGGCTGCCGGATGGAGTCATGTCGTCCACAAGAGCACGCAACTTGGCCACGATGGCGCTTTGAAGGAACATGGAGCTGTATATAAGCATTAGCCAGAGATGCGCGCGGATAGAGGCTGTTTTTTTTTATAAATACATAGACATGATGGACGGGGAGCGGTTGATGAGTCCTCAGATGAGCATCTTTCAGTGCGTGAATCACAACTTACCGTGCGTCCGGACTCCGAATATATGAGGCCCTCCCCCGCTGTGACGCGACAAAGAAAAAAAAAATGGCTGCACGCCTATTCCCTGCTTAAATCCCCCGCAAACTTTGCTTTTTGTTCTCTTTGTCTCCAAATACCCGGATTTGCTAGCGGAAAGCCACCAACCGCAAAAGTAGACCGAGGATGAGGAGGAATTTGGAGATGGAGAGCAGCAGGCCAGGCCGTGCGGTTCTTTGCTTGCAGGGAGGATCAAAGTCAAACAAACGTGTGAAAAATAAAATAAAATAGAAACCGGTAGCGAGGGAGAAAAAGGGAACAAAAAAAAGGAGACTTTGCAAGATGAATCCAGCCTGAGCAAAAACGTGAGACAAAGTCGTAAAACGAGAATCTGCAGAAGACGCGCCGCGCAGGCAATTAATAGTAGTCATGTACGGAGTATTGATTTCTGTTAGGCCGCAACCAAACGCCCCCCATTTGCAGCAAACAGGCGCGTTCCGGACAGGGCGAGGCCGGCGCGAGCAGTGAGCGAACCCACGTGATCTAGGCAGCCGGCTGTTGTGTGGCGGTGCTAGCGTGTTTTTGTCTTTTTGGCGCTGTTGCTTGCCTGGGCCTGTGGCACGGGTGGCGAGGCAGCAAAACCATGATTACCTCAGCAGGAGCGGCGCTAAGCTGGAGTAGGTACAGGCTGAGCTGCTTGTTTGTCTCCACTTTCTGGCTGCCAGCAACAGGTTGACTGACGACAGCTTCGGCCTCTTAGGAGCAGCCCCGCCAACCATCTCGTGCTTCTGCTTCGTGACGCCTCATCCCCATCGCCAGCGTGTCGAGCCATTGCCGTCCAAGATGCCGGTACGTCCACTGTCCCTGCGGATCCTCGTCGAAGCAGCCCCGAGCTTCGTCTGCCGGCCGCGTGCCGGAGCTGTCACCGGAGCCTCTCCCCTGTCACCGATGACCTCTGGCCTATCCCGTCATCTCTCCCGCCTCTTTCAAGGCAGCTTCGCCTCGAAATCTCTTTTGCTAACTTGGATTTCGCCCGTGAACCGCAGGCCTACAACTCCGACTTCAACTCCGACCCCAACCCTCCTCGCCTCATCGGCAACTTCCCCCTCCTCCCCCTCCGCACAAAGACCCGCGGTCCCGCCTACGTCCTGCCCTTCCCGTCACCGCCGCTGCCCGCCCACGAGTCTCCCGAGATCGAGAGCGAGAGCTATGACATCCTCGACGAGGTCCTGCGTCTCTTCCGCGCAAACACCTTCTTCCGCAACTTCGAGATCAAGGGCCCCGCTGACCGCCTGCTCGTCTACGGCATCTGGTTCGTGAGCGACTGCCTGCAAAAGATCAAGCCCAACGCCATTGCTCGCGATGCCGCCAAGGAGGTCAACAACTTGGCGCTGGACCTCAACTTTGCCATTCCTGGAGACCCGGGCTTCCCTCTAAACCAGGTTTGTCCAATTCACATCCCGACTTTCTTGGAGACCTTTGACGCAACGGGGTCGGTCTGAGATTCCAGCAGCTAATGTATTACCCTTCCAACTTCTTTTTAGATGTACGAACCCCCTCGGGACAGGCAGGACGCAGAGCAGCTCAAGCTGTACATGGCGCAGGTCCGACAGGAGCTTGCATCCCGGTTACTGGCCAGAGTGTACGAGGAGGATGAGACCAAGCCCAGCAAGTGGTGGTTGAGCTTCACAAAGAGAAAGTTCATGAACAAGTCGCTGTAAGAGAAGAGGGGTCGCTTGGTGGCATTTAGAGGGTCAATATACTATTTTACTGCAACTTGTGAGAGCATGGATCGCACCTGGCTCTAAATTCATAGTTATCCATTATCCATCGTCATGGGGGTTCATGTGCGTCAACTCCCAGGGAGTACCCATATACTCTATTCACTTGTTTGCCATACATGGCCATTGGCCTCTACACTCTTTTTACAGCCAACCATACGAAGCTTTTACCCCGTCTTGGGCTTCTTCCTCTGGAACTTGCCCCTGGCCATTATATTCCCCTCCGCGGGGATTGCCCTCCACCCCGTAAACACAAAGCCAACCGCCCCGCCCCTCTCCGTCATGAACGGATGCGTCCGGCCAGGCAAAACCTGCCACCTCCTCGCCCGGCTCGTCTGCACCTGCGCACCGATCAGCAGCGACGGGTTGATGGGGAAATCCGGCGTGCCGGCCCAGTTCTCCAGCTCCGTCGTCGTCTTGCCCTCTGTCTCAGCCGGAGGATTCGACACCCAGGCGCCACGCCGGCTAATGCTGAAGCAGTCCGCTAGCTGCGTCAGGGGCTCGATTGTCGGTGAGTAGATGGCCACGGGTGCGCCGCCGGCGAGGAGCGGGAGCGCGTGCCGCAGCACCGAGATGGGATCCATGGTGCTTGCCACGGCGAGGCCGGAGAAGCCGCCCGCTCGAGTAGCGTCGACGATTTGGCGCGTGCGAGCCCATCGCCGACGCTTGCGGTGGTAGTTTGCGCGCCGGTTGGTCTTCCAGGATGCGAGCGTCTCGGAGTCTGCATCTGGTGCTGGGTCCGCGTATGTAGGGTCTGCTTCGGGATCCAGCAGCTGAAGCCAGGAGATTGGTAGCAAGTTGGTGAAGAGCGGGTGGTAGGGATACGGAGGGTTGGGGTCGCTGAAGTCGTAGTCAAAGTGGCGGAGGAGAGAGAGGTTGGGCTGTGAGTTGGCGTGAATGAGAGTGATGCTGTTTGTAAGAGCATAGTGGTCGTCTAGGTCGTCTTTTCGCGGCCGCTTGGGTCGATTTCTCTGTGCCTTGGCAGGTTCTGTTGCTGCTGTGCCCGCCTCCTCGTTGGGTTGCGGCTCTGGGTTCTGCTCCTTTTGTGCAGCATCTGTCGGTGTGCCTTCTTCTTCCTCTGGAGTTTCTGCGTGCAATAGCCCCATTCTCTCAGCCATGGCCGCGACCAACAGACCTCCCGTATCGTCGACAGCCAGCCATCGCCCACCATGCGGGCTTTGTGCACCCTCAATCGGCAGACCACCAAAGTGTACATCAGCCCAGCATCCCAGCAAGCCAATCATTTCCTGTCGCATCTCCATGACTTTGCTGGCATCTCTCTCGACCAGCATCCACTGTCCGAGCTGTGCCACGTCTAGAGGCAGAACCGTAAACCGCCGCATGTACTTTCTCTCCTTGAGGAGCTTGTATTTGGCCAGCGAGTATGCCGTCTTCTGGTCAATCGCCGTATGGGAGAGCATCAGCTTGGCGATCAATTCTTTGCCCGCCGAAGCACCCTCCCTCTTTAGCTGATCAATCTCGGCCATTGTGAGCGTCTGGCGTGCAGATTCGTCAATGACCTCGCGGTTCGACCGTGCGACGACCTTGCCGCTCTCATCGACAAGCGTGAGCTCCTCTCCATTCGCCGGTTCAATAACGTCGTCGCCCTCGGCGGACTCGGTAGCGCTCACATCGGCGAGCTTGTCGGCATTGAGTTCTGTGCCGGGAACGACTCGTAATCGGGGAAAGCTTTCGCCCTCGCGCCTGTCCTGAATCTCATAGGTGAGATGGTAGGGCCGTTCGATGATAAGATTGCTCGGAAACGAGCCATATTTGCCTAGAGAAATGGTTCTGGAGAGCGCTGTCAGTCGCACGCCATCAAAGAGCTACAAGGTAGAAGAGAGTAAATAGAGACTGACGTGTTGGGAACCACCTGAAGAACACGTGTCACCTCGCTCGGCAGTCTGATTGCAACCCATCCATTGGGCTGCACTGTATTCCTCGACATTTCGGCAAGGCTGAGGCGGAAGCATCAACTGTTGCTGAAACTTGGTTCATGGCAAGAAAAAAAAATAATTAAAGCGCCGGACTTGATCTCGGTGAGCCCCGCGCCCCACCGTGGCGGCTCCCGACTCACCGCGGTGGGTCATCTCGACTTCTGGGTATTCTCACGTCACAGCATCAACTCGGCGCTGGAGATTTCAGATAAGAAATACTGTGTCTGTTTACATTGGGTTGAGCTGCCAATTCTGATTGTTGTATCCTTATCGGGATGGGTTGGCCTTTTTCCTTCTCTCTTTTTTCTCTCAATAACTCATTGGTGAGCACTTCTCTAGATGGGCTGTATTGTTCTAATTGTCAGTCTGAATAACCTGGTAGAGAGACCATGAGTCGTGTCTTCGTAATTGGTAGCGATATATATGGTAGCTCTAAGACTAAAATAAATTAAAATAAGATGGTGCAAACAAAGCACATGTTGCTGCTTGATATTCTGCACCCAAGGACTGTATAGGCCGTGTCATTGGACTCTGTCTCATGACTTTCGTAACACCTACGGAGTAGATCTCTACCCTACAGATATCTATATAAAGTCTTGAATGTTCCATATTTTGAACTTATCAACTGTCATTCTGTATCCAAAGTTACAAGAGATAGTGTACAAGGATGTATTATTTGAAATCTCTTTATTAAGGCGCGTGTGGCGGAGGTCAGGGGATGAGCTAGGAGAGGCACTCGCATTATTTCGTTTTGAGAGGACACAGTCAGACCTCGTTTGGGGCCGTTAGACCGGAGAGGTAGTTGCGTTATTTCCTTTTTTTCATGGAAGCACACAGAATATACGTAGAGGGACCTGCGCCTTGTTGGCCGGGGGGGTGTGAGTTTACATGACCTCCGCGTACCTGATATAGGTACCCATACCTTCTGTAGCATTTAGAGAGATAGCAAGACCCTCACAACGAACCCTCTGCCCCCCTCGACTGACTCGGACGTCCTGGTGGAAACCCGCGTTGACGAATTACTCACTCAGCGCTCGCTGGAGTTGCTCATTGCCCCAAGCCTTACGGGCATACTCAACCCCATCATCAGGCGCATCGTCAACGAGCAACTCGCTGCCGCCGGCATCCCAGTGCCCGCTGAGGCACACAACCCCGATGAAGTCGATGCCGCAAGATAGCAAGTTGTCCCTGGAGGGCTACTGTAACAGCGACCTTAAAGGTACGCTAAGACCAGCAACGCCTGTCTCATAACAACATCATCTTCGGTCCCATGCTTACGTGACCCCCTATGATGTTTTAACTTATCCCCTAACCTCCGCCGCACGCGCCGTAATACTCTTATTCATGTACTGAGGTACGCAATGGTAGCAGATACTAAGGGGGGATGGCTATATCGGCAGATACTAGATAGAGGTAATGATAGTGGCAGATACCAGACAGAGGTAGTGGTAGTAGCAGATACTAGATAGAGGTAGTGGTAGTAGCAGATACCAGCAAGAATAGCGATTGTTCCTAAGAAACCAGGCATCAAATTGGACTTCACTGCATCTCGATATCACAGATGTTTCATATCTCGTAATCGTTCGTTTGTCTTCCACTACTGGAGGCAATCGTATCGCTGGGTGAATTTCGGATTTGTAAGATTGTTGCTGAACCACGAAACTGGCGAGATGAGAGGTTGAGTTCTGGATCTTGCTGTCAAGTATCGCCCGAGGTCCTCGATAGCAGAGTCCAAGATTGTTAAACCCGTCAGCTTCAACTTTCGTAGGAGAACTGAAAGGGAATAGCCAGGGCGGATAGGATTATGCTTTATCGACCACGGGCACTGACTTCCCGATGAGGGTGCAATTCTTCTAGTAATATTTCCGTCGCGGGAGACACAGGAACAAAATCATATCGCTGTAATTCGAAAATGATCGAGAACGTCTCCAGTTTTGTCGGGCTTCCCTTGTCTCACGGCTGTCGCAGAAAGGGTAAAGGAGATCGAAGTACTGAACGGTTTCATCTGGATTCTGGGCCAATTATCCGGAGACATTGTCCTCGCCATGATCCACTGGTTGTATCGGCCCCTAAACGCCGTTAAAGATGAAGGAGGGCATGAAGAAAACACGAAGCATCGCTGGACTGATTCTGTGAATGTTATAATTAACCGACGAGATAATTCGTTTGTTAGTCAGTCCGATGACATACCGCCACAAGCGCTTCTTATCCGTTGCTCGACGAAGCCAAATGAAATTCAGGAGATTGGATTCAATCTCTTAGCATTCAATAATACAATACGGATGAAAATAGAGCGTCGGAATACGATATACGGCACCTATGGCTGAAGCAAGCAAAGCTCGATGACTAACAGGTAGCAGCAGCAATAACGCCGAGCCCAGAGTCTCGACCTAAGATAGCCGACGGGAGAATGTGAAAAGACAGCCAGATGCACCACGCGATCAAATCATCCGATCTCAAGATATCTAGCGTTTGCGCCTCATCCTTGCGCCGTTCAGCTATAAGCAGAGTAACCCATCCCTGGAAAGCGGACTGCAGGAGAACGATGCGATGGTCGATCTCAATATGTGGGCGAGCCGAGCGAAGCGTCTCTTTTTGGACTTGATTGGGACAAAGGCTGGCGTAGTCCCCTTTGCACATGTGATCTAGTCAATCGTCAATGGTCGGTTGCCGCGTGTCGATCACGTTGAAGAGCCAAGACGGCCCATTAGCATATCGATTCTTGGTATCCCAAGACGCCACGCCTTGCGGCAGCTTAACGCAGGGCTTCACCAATTTAGCCAGTGGTCCGGGGCCCCGGAATAGTGACTTGCTTCTGGGGCTGAAAAAGCTGGAGCTGGAGCTGGAGATCTGGGGAAGAGAGGACTTGGAGCCGTCGGAAAAGAGCCGTCGGGAGCTTTCATAGGTGGACGGAGCAGAGACGTCGAGTCGGCCACAGATTAAATAGCCGAAAAGCCTCTGACGAAGACTCAAGAGACATGCCGTCAAGGGAACAAAATTAGACGAGATGGCATTCTGTACTAATAATTACAGCTGCTCGTGCATGGGTTAGGAGGTATCAATGAGGTCTACACTAATGAAAAGCACTGATGAGAGGCACTGGGGGAGGAGAAAAGAGGTTTCACGTGATGAAGACTGGAGGGTGTACGTACTGCTACTATTGCAACCTCAGGCACTGACTGAGCACGCTATCGTTCCATCATGCCTCTTTTATCTTCTGCCTTCTAATACTACCAACTTGCATGTCCTTCTACAGGCATGTTCGCCCAACTCTCTGGAACAAACAGCTGCGAGATTTGCCATGGATTTCGCTACCACCTCCGCACGCCGCTATGCTTAACCGGCACATGCTTCTTAGCCAATCCACAACCCCCGCGAGGACATCGGGGAAAAGATGTAAGCGCAGGGGGGGCCAAACGCGGCTACCGGACGCCACAAGACATCAAGTGTGAGTGGCAATGCAGGCAGATGGTACGGCAGACCATTTGGAGCAGCCTCTGATTTTCCCCACGAACTTTGAGGGGGAAACTGTTCCCAATTCTCCTGCTCGGTGGAAGATTCCACGGCTTCTAGCGTCAGCAGATCGTGACGCTGCAATACCTACGTGTGCCCCCGCACAGAATCTGCGAGTATTACAGCCGACAGCGGCAGGTTCGCCTTGGGGGTCGTGTCACGGTGACGAGATTTGTGATATCCGGGGTGGTTTCTGGGGGACAAGGCACGCCGTCGGCCAACAGCCACGGTCACTAAACACAACCGTCATCGGCCCATCCTCCTCGTGCTCTGCAGCCAACCCGCCGGCCTGCCTTCCAGGATTTCGGGCCAGCATTGACTCGAGACCCAGCATCTCAAGGATGCCAGGACTCGCTTCAGACCAATGGCCAGTCATGCTTGTTTCCCCGCCTCCTTCTACCCCAGCAAGCTCAGACATCTCCACCACGCGCCCCGGCTTTTCTCCAGAGTTGCTAAAGGCGGGCTGACGGGTGATTTATCTGCGTGTCCGTGTACGTGTATAGGTTCCAGACTATCAAGCCTGCTAGCAATGGGCTCGGACAAGACTCCAGCCGCCATCATCGCGGAGAATTCTCCTTCGGGGCCGCCTAGCAGCCGGGCGGCGCCACAGCAGGAGAGCCACGTTCTTCCTCTGTTCTGCGACCTGCGGGTAATTCCTCTGCCATGTGAACGAGATGCCTCACTAGACGCCACACTTAAACACAGACAACACTATGTGCCATTTGGAGGAGCGATTTTGCCGACGGGATTTTTTAGAGCGGCTGGGCTAGTACCAACCTGGAGTATGAGGCCGGTAATGGTCCGGATGATCATGTCCACATTTTGCCAGGGCGAGCAAAGGCTGCAATACGATGCAGGCCATACAAGAAATTCCTCTTTACGAGTCAAAGTAAACCCTGGTTGGTGATGTGAGGGGCTGGTCGACCGAATTGAGTGATAAGGGTCGCATTCCCAGCACGAAAAGCGCAGCCTTGATTGAGAGCATCCCAGGCAACTTCACCTCTTTTTTTTCTTCTCTCTTTTTCGCTTCCGTCTCTCTCCCTTTGGTAGGGTCCTCCAGATAGGAATCAACCACCATGGGCGTTGTATCCTTCTTCAAGGCCAGGTCGCTCAAGGCCGACGACAAGAACCGCACAAAAGCTGCTGAGCTGACACTGAGAGAGTCCCTCTTCCCAATCGCCCTCGTCACCGTCCTGTTTTTCCTCTGGGGATTCAGTTACGGCCTGCTCGACACGCTCAACAAGCATTTCCAGAACACGCTCCATATCGACCAGGCGCGTTCCTCTGGTCTGCAGGCCGCTTACTTTGGGTACGTTTTGCCGCCATCACACTGCGCAATCCGTCGCGCTTTGCCAAGCAGATAAGCTAACTTTGAGATTGTCCAGCGCATATCCATTGGCCTCTCTCGGACACGCCGCCTGGATTCTCCGTCACTATGGATACAGAGCCGTCTTCATCTGGGGTCTTTTCCTGTACGCTGTAGGCGCTGCCATTGCCATCCCCTGCATCAAGGCCAAGTCGTTTGGAGGCTTTTGCGCCTCCATCTTCATCATCGGCAATGGCCTTGGCTCTCTGGAGACTGCCGCCAATCCTTTCATCACAGGTATGTGACGCGATGTCGTCCAACTCGATCATGGTTAACCTGCCCCTCCCCGTCCATCCCCACTGACATGATCTACCCCAGTTTGCGGCCCACCGAAGTACTCTGAGATCCGAATCAACGTTTCCCAGGCTTTCAACGGTATTGGCACAGTGATTGCCCCCGTCCTTGGTTCATACGTCTTCTTCAACTTCAGCGACGAGCGTGCGCTTCAGAACGTGCAATGGGTTTACCTGGCCATTGTTGTCTTTGTTCTCCTCTTGGCGACTATGTTCTTCCTCGCCAAGATCCCCGAGATTACGAATGCTGGTGAGTATTTATCTGCAATACGATCCCCCTATCGCATCCTGCTAACGCAATGCACTCTAGATATGGCATTCCAAGCCGAAGAGGCCCACGGCAGCTCGGATGACCAGCCACTTTGGAAGCAGTACAGACTTTTCCACGCCGCGCTTGCCCAGTTCTGCTATACCGGTGCCCAGGTTGCTATCGCCAGTTCCTTCATCAACTATGCCGTGGCAACTAGACCGGGAACTTCGAACAGTCTTGGCTCTAAGCTGTTTGCCGGTGCCCAGGCCGCTTTCGCCATCGGTCGATTTACGGGAAGTGGTATAATGCGGTTTGTGAAGCCAAGATGGATCTTCCTCGTCTTCATCAGCATGTGCATCATCTTCATTTGCCCAGCCATCACTCAAAAGAACAACACCGGTGTCGCTATGCTCTACGTTGTCCTCTTTTTCGAGTCTGTCTGCTTCCCCACCATTGTTGCCCTTGGAATGCGTGGTCTCGGCAGACACACCAAGCGTGGCAGTGGCTTCATCGTCGGCGGTGTTGTCGGTGGTGCCTGTGTACCCCCCTTGACCTTTGTGGCTGCAGAGCGTCAGGGCAGCGGCATTAGCATGGTCGTCCCCCTATCTTTCCTCATCGTGGCCTGGTCGTATGCCTTCTGCGTCAACTTTGTGCCTGCGTATCGGGATGTCGTCGATGCCTTTAGCGAGACCGAGGTTGGCACCCAGGGCCACACGAACGATGAGGAGATTGCGGAGAAGCTGGACCATGAGAAGCCCGTGGTCACTACTGTCCAGTAAATATGCTTGTAGAGCGGGGGGGACATGGGACAAGGTGGTTTTGGTTTATTAAATTGGATTGACGAGTTTTCTTGGATACCAGTGTCGTCGCCTGCTTTGTGACCAACTTTTTCGGTTGGACACATGTTATGCATATAATGATTTCATGGCAAATACATAACTTGACAACTTGACTCTCACTCTGTGCCGCTTCATTATGTCCACGTTCAACTTTTCTAATTCTCTTTCTCTTTCTTTGTCTAACCCCAAGGTCATATGTAACAATGCGCTTTGTTTCACAACAAGTTGAAAAGAACAACTTCTCATCCCCTATACCTAGATCCTAATATAAAGTCCGACGAGCATTACATCTATGTACCGTTCCTCCTCCTTCCTCCCCTCGTACTCCTCTCCACGTGTCCCTTCAAGACCCTCCTCGTCTCCACCAAGCTCCTCTTCTGCTTGCTCTTGGCCTTGCCGAGCGTCATCAAAAAGTTCTTCTTGCGCTGCTTCTCGCGGTTGCTCGTGCTCTTGCCCGCGGCGTCCTTCTTGGACTTGCGGATGGCCTGCGTGCTCTTGTGCTCCTCGCGGTCGGGCTTGCCCTCCTTGGCGAGGGCGACCTTTTCCTCCTTGGTCAGCTTGCGCAGGCGGATGGGCGCCTCGATGTTCTCGGCGGTGAGGCCGTCGTCGGCGTGCGCGGGGCCGTCGGGGTTGGGGTTCTGCTGGCGCTTGTTGCGGAACTTGCTGCCCATGGCCTTTTGGACCGAGGCCGCGGCGCGGAGTTCCTGGAGCTTGGCGAGGTCGGCGGGGGTGAGGATTGTGGTTGTGGCGAGCTTGGTCATGCGTTCGAGCTCGGCGGCTTCGTCTTCTTCATTGTCTTTGTCTTCGTCGTCTTCTCCTTCTTCTCCCTTTCGCTTCTTGGGAGCCGGCTCATCCTCGTCTGAAGAATGGTCCACGTTGATCCATTCGCCGGAATCGCTGCTGTCTTCAGAACCAACCTCCCACTCATCAGAGTTGAAGCCATCTTCATCCTTCTCCTTTTCCTTTTCGTCGCCGGAGACGTCGCTTCCGTCCTCTGGCAGGCCCTTTTCGGCGCGCTTTCGCTTCCTCTGCTCCTCTTTCCACTTGGCAAGGAGATCCAGACCCTCGATACCGCCGACTTCCTCCTCTCCGAACTTGCGCTGCTTCATCAAGCCGGAGCTGAGGCCCATGGTGGCATCTTTGCCTCGGTCTCGCTTCTTGAGCATCTCTGCGCCGACTTCTCGGTATAGTGACAAAAGACCCTTGGCAGCCATCATGACGCCCTTGTCCTTGCTCTTGCGGTATTGGACCAAGTCCTGTAGCAGCGTCTCCGTCATGGCTAGAGGCTGTCGAGAGCATATCTCGCGAATAGCATTCAGACCAACTGCAGCGACTTCCGAGGCTGAGGCTTCAGAGACGAACTCGTTTGCAATCTTTTGGATGAGGGGTTCCAGAGCATCAGGGGGCACTAGGTTGTGCACACCTTGTGCTAGAGAGGCAAGGATTGATGTGACGGATTGTTGCTTGGGTGTAAGATATTTGATGAACCAAGAGTATAGCGGCACAATGGTAAGCTTGTGTAGACCGACTAATCTGGTAATAAGCTGCAGAACAAGCAGCTTTGTATCCAGTGAGAGCTTGTTTTTTGCACTCTGAAGGTGTTTTGTGAAAAGCTGCTCAGCAAAGTCCTGAGGGTCGTGTAGCAAGTGTAGAGCCGAAAAGTTGAGCGGGTGAGGCTTTGACTTTTTCTTCTCCTGTCTCTTGACTTTATCGACTGCCTTTTTGTACGCGTCCTTCTGCTTTCTTGATTTCTTGTTGATGGTGATCTGGTGCTTTACTTTGGCCAAATCAATCTCCTCGTCGCTGCTTTCGTCCTCGAGCTCCTCACGCTCCTTGTCGCCTCCCAAGAAGAACCGCACAGATCCAATGACAACCTTCTCGTTATCGGCCAAACACGCCTCTTTCATGACGTCGACTGGTTTCGCATCTGTCCAAATCTGTCGCTTCCACAGCTCGCGCGTCAGCTTAATAGCCCAGATGGCCCTTGGTGAAGAGCGATCTGCTGTGACGAGGTTGTAAAGCACGGCCTGAATGGTTCGGTTCAGCGGGTGATTTGTGGACTTGGAATTTGAGTTGCGCATGTCGCTGAGGATTTTCTGGAAGAGCATCTCTCGCATGGATTTGCTTCGCGAGGACACGAGGATCGGGAACAGCGTCGTCAGAAGGCTGGTGGAGTCGATGACTTCTTTGCGGCGCAGTAGCACCAGACTGCCGACGACCTTGTCTCTCAGTTCGTGGTGAAGAGTTTCATGATTCTGTGAGACAATGGCCTTCAAATCGTCCGGAAATGTTCGTGTCTCCTCGGGATAGCAGTCGGCAACGTGCGCAATGAGGTCGATCATGTTGTGGAATGATTCCACCGAGTCGGCGGCGGCCGTTGTCGGCGACATGAAGAAGATTTCGCGCTGAGCCTCATATTGCTCCCATTGCTTCAGGAAGTCGTCCTTGTAGGATCTAGAACAACGTGAGCGATGGTCCTTCAAGGCGAGTAGAAGGCGATGAAGAGCTTACTTTGGATCCCGACGGATTTTGTACTGAAGACTCGCGCTGCAATGATTGTTAGCACAACGGGGGATAGAGGCGCAAACTAGTTCAGCAGAACATACAAATCCGCATCGATCTTCTCGAGCGCCGCAACCTTTCTTTTCACCATTTTTGCGACTGCTTGGGACGCAATGAAGGCGATTTTGTATGGGATTGATTTTCGCCTTGGCGGGACCAACTTTGTCGAAGAAATTTTGGATTATCGGCCACTGATAAGATAAGGATAAGCTTAGCACCAGCCTAGCGTACAGGGGCTGGAAACTCCTAGATCCCCTAGCAGTCAGCGTCATCTTGAATAAAGCGAATTACATTTCTTAATGCCAAATCGATGTCCTCTTCTTTTTTTCAATGCCATACGACCCGAATGATAAATTCCATTTGCTGCTGAATCTTATGTAGCTTGAAAAAGTAAATTGAAAACTACTATGAGTCAATGTCCTTGATGAAGCCCTTGTACGGTGTACCTTTCATCGAAACCAGATCCCTGCCGATAATCCCATAACGCCTTGATGAAGCACTTTTCTCAACTTGCCATTCCCATTCTCCCCCGTGGCGAGTGCCTTTCTTCAGAAATTCTATTGTCCGGATTGGTTCACAAGTCCGATTCTTCCTTTTGAAACGCCTCTTCGTGTGTTCGTTTGCCTCTCTTGATCAACTCTCGTGTCTTGTTTGCCTCATCTCTGATGGTATTCATCATGGAGTCAAGTGTGTTATTCATTGCTTCAGCGTTTGCCCACATACGGTGCTTTTCTTCCATCACCTCCAAATAGCGATTGATGACATATGTTGCCCCTCGAATTGAATACCGAACGGCTTCAGGAACGCCTGGAGCGCTTGCGCAGTCTCGCAAGTCTTTGATCGCGTCCTCGACCATGGTGTCTGTTATGGGATTCGTCCACGTAGATCGTCCAGGTTGAGTGCGAGGCACAAAGCACACAACTGTTTCCATATCATCCTTTGCGTCATCCACCCATTTGAGTATGTCTGGCTTGTCCACAAAGATGGCCCACGTACGTAGCCACGTCTTCGTATCTGCGTCCATCACCTGAACGATTTCTTCGCTCATTCTCTTTGCGAGTTCGTCAGTCACGCTGGCTTGGAATCTCTCTTGACGTGCGCGAGTGAGGTAAGGCTCCAGCTTTTCTATAGCTTGCGCCCTTCTGAGGATCACACAAGTCATATTTTCTTTGAACAGATGTGACGCGTCAAAAACTTCTGCATCACTGGCCTGTCTCTGAGTTTCCTACATATTCATCAGCCGCTTTGGTTCCGTTAGGCTGACCATACTACCTTGAAGCGGCGGTAGCTACTGTCAAGTAGATGGTAGAATTACCTTCGTTGCGTGGCATCATGTAGATGGCTCGGTGGGTTAACGATTATTCTTTCGTAGTCGTGTTCCGGTCTTTTGGTTTCCCGTGGTTCGTCGGGAGAGTAGTATGTAGAAAGGAGAGGCGTGTGGAATGAAGCTGCAGTTGAGAAAAGAAGAAATGGAAGATGGAAATAAATAGAAAGATAAAGAAGGTTGTGAAGATTCGTAAGGCTGCTTGGCCAGCTGTCAAAGTTGTTTGCCAGATCCATCTTCTCCTAAGAAACAAGTACAATACCAGTCAGTACGTTTCGTTAACTCAATGTTACATTGACTAAATTTGAGCCTTGCTGAATGAATGGGCCTAGTTAGTTGGATGGGTCTCGATGGCGTTCGCTAGACCGTCAATGTGCGAGAGAGATTGATAGGCAACGAGATGGTGCAAGATAGATTGATGGACATCTATCAACTGACTGACCGGCTGACTGTAATTGAAGGTTTGTAGCTATATAGTAGAGTAAACTACCATGCCTGACTAACCATGGTATCCCAACAACTGCCACCTTTTGAAGAAGAAGAATGCGATTGTCTTGATGATGTGGTGATGTTGAATGCGAACTGACGGATGGAAAGAAAGGTTTACCCGTAAACTGATGAATGAAATAAACCAAACTTGATTTCTTGGTATATAGTACTGAATGCCCATCGCTGATAATACCTTCGTTTGTCTATCAACGGTGGTGGTCGTCTGTCTGCGTCTAGTCGGTGGATGTCGGCGCTCCATTTCGTCTGGGTGCCAGAATCCGTCGTCTATGCGGTTCTTTCAGAAGTTGCTTCATGCGTCTGCCTTAGTCCACCGTTGATGCCCATGCTCCGTCTATGGAATGTAGAACTTCATCTGATCGATAAGAAGATGCATCTTTCGTCGACGGGCGGCCTCGTTCACTCCCTCCACGTCCATCACTTGCTTCATCCCATCCAGGATGGCTGTCGGTCCCCGTCTCGACCACAACAATGGGTTTTCTCTCATCTCGATCCAGCTGTGTTAGTGTTTGTCCTCCGTAGCTCTCTTTACCCAGTCTTTGACGTGGATGAACCGGGTCCTATTTGCCCAAATGGCCAGGTCCTCCTTTATCTCTGGCGGCAGTACCATAACCATCTGCTCCGCAAGCGTCTCTTGGAGTTTGTTATTCTGATTGACATCCCAAGCTGAATTATTGATTGTATCAATCAGGCTGCCGACAGCTGCTATTGCGTTCTCGCGTGTGATGGTCATCTTCTCCTGAACCATGACGGATGGCGGAGGCGATTCCGTACGGACGATTGATCTTTTGACGGACGATTGTTGTTCTTGAGACATTTTGATTGAGTGCCTTTTCCGTGTCGCGACGTGAGTGAAGATGTGGGCGAGGATTTCAGTGGGGTGTTGGAGGAAGAAAAAAGAGGTGAAGAATGAAAATGAGCGATCGAAATTTATTCAACTTCTAAAGCTCGCGTTTTACTACGCGTTCAGCGTGCCTATTGGTCGCCAGCTGTCATCGTGTTTGAACAAGTGTCCGGCAGCTGCGTTTCTTCTTCTTCGGTGCAGCTTCGGCAATGGATTGAGGTCGAATTGTCTGTTTGGCCGACACCGTTATGGAGAGCAATACTTGCAAGTTCTCGTGGGTGTATAGCCGGGATGTATTGGGCTTGGTAAATAACCGCGTTGCGAAATCATAGGATTGGGTAACGAAAAGTACGGCAGCCATAATGACTACCTGACCCTAAAGTGCGCAAGGAACAATCTAGGTTGAGGGTTTATGGTAGGTGAGGTCGTAGGTCTTTGATCCAAAGGTTTCAGGATAACCGTGATCATAAAGTCTTTTTGGGCACAATCGACTTGCGGTAACGCTTCAAAGATTTGTTGCGGAATAAGAATTGAGTAGATAAACATGAGGCCTTCAAGTACTCAGGAACAAGTTCCTTAGGAGAAGGTTGTCTGTGAGTTGTAAGCTTGAGGAAAAAAGGCCGCTGTCAAGAATCGGTCACAAGAGCAAACAATAGGAAGACACACAACCAACTGATTTGTTGACGAGCGAATAGGTGGCGTGCGCATCCTGCTGTGATTGTCTGATTCTTTCTGTGCTTTGTATTGATCTTTCAGAAATAGAGGCGCGCAAATGCAAGTGTTCGAATGCCCATTGCCCTAAAGGGGAGCAAAGTGGCAGACAATCATGACAATATGTTGTATGTTTGACGGGACAAGTTCCACTACTCATATGGTGTACTGAGATGTTCACCATGAAGGGGGATTCAAGTCGTATCGAACAAGAGGTGCGGTGCGGGCTTCAAAAGCGCGTCGCAAAGGGAAAAAAAAAAGGATCAAATATGGCAGATGCCATGGGTAGAGCTGCCAAGCCCCCAAGTCCCCGAAGGACGAGCTAGGCTGAAGGAAGTTTGTTGAACGAGATATCCGAGTTCCATATAACAAGGCACAGTAGAACAGCTTGTCGGTATAGCACTGGTCGAAAGTTCTCTGTTCGTGAATCGTCTATTGTATATCAACCGGGTCGCGGCGAAGGCTTCAAAAACGAATCGAAAGAAAGGTTGGAAAAATGAAATGCATAGCGGCCGCCGTTCAAGGTTGCCAAACCCCCCAAGCCCTCAAGGGACAAGCGAGGCTGTAGTACATGCTCAACCATTGGTATGGGAGCATCGTACTGACGTGATCAAGTGACTCCAAGGCCGCGGTGAGGGCTATAAAGCACTTCTAGAAAGAATAGAGTAACTGTATAACAGCTACCGAATCTCAAGCGTTTGGAAGACACTGGACCAAAGGAGGAGGTCTGGTGCACGTGAACTCTAGGTTCCATGTAACAAGGTGTACTGGAAACGTCTGTTAGTACGACACCGATGGAGAGAGCGGTACAAGCAAATAATTATAGGCGTACTTACCAGGGTGCTGTCAGCGCATAAAAAGCAAAAAGCAGATTAGAAAGGGTGAAGATAAAATAATTGCATAGCGGCCACTGGTTAAGGCTGCCAAAACCCCCAAGTCCTCAAAAGAGAAGCGAGGCTGAACGAGTTCTTTGAACGAGGTCTCTGGGTTCCATGTAACAAGTTACAGTAGAAGCGTATGTTGGTACAACACCAATCGAATGAGCTTTATTCGCAAATCGTCGATGGCGTATTGACCGGGGTGCGGTGGGATCTTCAAAAGTGCTCCGCAAAGAAAGAAAAAAAGGTAACAATTACAGCTGCCCGATAAGGCTGCCAAACCTCCAAGTCCTCAAGGGACAAGCGAGGCTGTAGTACGTGCTCAACCGTTGGTGCGGGAGCACAGTACTGTCGAAAAGAATGATAATCTCATGGTCTTCTTCTGTTAAATCCATGTGCGTTAGTCTTGGTAAAACACGCATCACCGTTGAGCGAAGATTGACCAACCGAATGCGAGGGCCCCCAGTCCGTAAAGAGCAGATCGGGTTGTCGGAAATTGGGTGACGAGATGTCCAAACGCGGGACCGTGTGGTGTCTGTCGTCAACATCATTGAGAAGAGCGGCGTTTGTATGGTTGTATGCAGGCAATGCGTGAATGGAGCTCTGCTAGTGATTTCATTGACGTTGGTCGACGCAGATCAAATTTCAATGACGGATGCGAAGGTGGCAAAGATGTACTGAGCTGGTTCTAAAGGGCAAAGCACGTACCTGTATCGGGGGAAATTGAGTGACTGTGACGAAGACGAAGAAGAAAAAGACCAAAGCACGGAGAGAATATTGTTGATGTGATGGGAAAAGTGTGCGATCACCTGACTACACTACAAACCACAGACAGCTGAATAGCCCCGATCGACTCGAAATTGTGTGCCAGATGGCATTGGTTAGCGAGGCGGCAGACAGCTGGCAGTGCAGACACTGAAGCTGCCAGGCTCTTGGGGCTCTGTTTGTCAGGCGTCTTGTACTGACTGTCAGTTGCTGAGCAAAGACGGCCAAAAGTCTCGTTATATTGAAGAGACTCGTTTGTATTTGTGGGAGTGACGAGCAACGAACAATGCGGTTGGCCGCTCTTCCTGTCATGTTGGGTTCTGAATGGCCTAAACTGGTCTGTTCCCTGACCCAAGTGCCGTCTAGAAGTTCGTCCAGCCACCTGTTATTCACAATTATCTTGCCTTTACTGATCGTTACTGCAGTGTGCTGTTTCTTTTTGGCCGTCTGTGGCGAAAGAAGCCGTCGGGGACGCACGTTGTCATTTATGAAGCAGAATTCCTGTGTCTAGATAGACTCCAGGTCTATCTCCCTACCAGAAGATCATTCATCTTTATGCGGCAGCATACAGTGGTAGTAAACATGCAAGCAACCGCACTGAGATGAATTGACTACTGCTGGCCTATATAGCTTGCCTCAGGGTCAGTTGGTTTGCGATATATATTGCACCTTTCTATCACATCTTGCGCAATGGTTGAAGAAACGGCTGCACTGACTAACGACCACACTCGACCTTGACCGCCCATTTAGTCAGGCAGCACTCTTACCGACACCATCATCAACAACTCGTTAGTCTTCGCAAATACGCTGGTTCTCAATAGATAAATCAGACGTCAATGTAAGCAGTGAACTACCACGTACGCAAGACGTAAGACAGAGGCGTGCATGGACACTAACCAATCTTGATGATTGTTATGGGACAACCTTCATGGCATGGTGAAGGGGACAGATACCATCGCTACTGGTTTACGGCATTCCTACCTCCTTCTACTTGCTACTTTCTTCTACTACTTACTACTCTCTGATACTATCACTACTCTCTTCTACTACTTGCTACTTTCTTCTACTATCACTACTTTCTTCTACTATTAATACTGTCTTCTACTACTTCCTACTCTCTACTACTATCACTACTCTCTTCTATCTTCTTCTATTGCTGATACTTTCTTCTACTAAAGTTATTCTCTTCGACTATCGACATTCCCTTCTACCACTTGCCAGTACCGGTCAAGCCACATCTGTTTGATGACGTCGTTAGAGATAAGACCATAGCTCTAGAAGAAGAACAATTGGATGAGTCAACATTATCCGAATGTTAGACCGAGAAGACAGTCAGTCAAAATTACAAAAATGTTAACCGACAGCATTCAGAGACCTACTAGCAACGCTGCCAAAGCAGAGACCGATAATCCATCCATGGCTCTTCATGGTACACCGGATCGCAATGTTGGCAAAGAAGCTGGTTGGATTAAAATTTAAGGAGCATCAGCCTACAATGATATGTTGATGGACATGAAGCATGTTGGAGAAGACGAGACGGCACTCTGCGGCGTCATGATGTCGTGATTCAAAGTTACACATGACATTGAAACATTTTGGGCAGAACAAGTGCCTTTGACCGGAACATACGAGTGTCGCTTCTGTGTCATTGATCTGGCAGAAATTCATCATCCAGACGAGCATTGCTACAAATGTGCCCAGAAAGACGCTATACAGCGGGCCGCCTCTCTACGAGATTGGATTTTCCCTCTAAATCGACCTTACCAATATCAGCTCTGCGGCCATGGTGATGAACTGTTCGAATTCGCACCTTGCGGCAAAACTTTGACCACCATCAAAGAACAAGGTACCACATGAGGTCTTACGTGCCAATAATGCAGAAGCATGGCGCAAGCGATGACAAGGTGCCGATCTGCTGTTTGGAGCATGCGCGATGAATCCTGAAGGAAGCCGTATCTACCGTGATGGACCTGATTCTGATTCAGTTGACGATATGATGGATCAGGTGTGGTCCGTTCATCAGGTTTACACAGTGAAGGCAAATGAAGCCAAGTTTTGCGAATGCCGTCAAACTTGGCCGATTGAGCCGCTGGAGTGGCGTACTCATGCAGACAGACAGCTGGACGATGCCCACGACGCTGTCGCAAAGCACGGCTATACTGGGGTCACCGTTGGTCGTGCCATTGTCCTTCTTATCTGCCCATTTTGCTTTTACAATGAAGAGTCGCCTACACAAAAGCGTATTGCAACTTACGCTTCTTTTTTGATCTGTCGGCACATATTTCGCTTCATCCAAAAGAACAAGAGAAGAAAAACATTAAGAAAAGATGCCCTTGTTTCCCAGTAATGTGCACCAAGCAAGAGAAGATGGACAGCACTAGTTTACGAGCGCATCTCGAAGTTGTACATGACATTGAAGCGAAGACGAATAAAGCCGCAAAACACAGGGCAAATACCAACGATCCTACCAGCTGCCGCACTCGAACGAAGAAGAACTGATGACGCAAGGTGTCAGGGGATGCGCACTGAAGAGCTCTTCGAGATTTGCTTGTTATTCTGGCATGGAAACAACTGATGGTTATGTATTAAGCTGCTCTATTTGGGATGTTTGTATTGAGAAATTGATCAAATACTATAGTTCATATACAAATTGACAGTTGCATAAGATTCTCTTTCATTACCTACAAAAGAACAATATCCCCGTCCAGTCCACACTCTGTACCCATGCCGCCCATCCTTCCATGCTCCGGCTTCAAGCCTCTCAATCCCCTCCCATGTCAACAATCAGTATGGATCCAAGTGAGTCGAGTCCTCCGCCGCGTCCAACTACTCCATTGGGAACACTCCCCTCGGGGCCACTTGGGGGTACTTTCTCAGCCATTCCATACACCATCTCTCGCGGTCCAGAGTCCGCTGTACATTCCGCAGCATCTTGATGTCCACCTGGTAGGGACTTGGAGAGTGATGGGGCGGGTCCCCCCCTTGTATATAAGCTAGACTAGAGCCTTGTCCGGGAGGGGACCAACTTAGTTTATACACACACCGATTGAAGTGAATCCCTATTTTCTTCGTGTTCGTGATACCTGCTTTTCTGAGAGATGTAGAAGTAGACTTGGCCTATCTATACCTATGGGGAAAGTATGTCTACCTATAGTAGGTCTATAGAGGTTATATGACCTCATAATGTAGGTACTTAAATCTTCTCACGCAACGTCCCTTCAAGATCGGCTTTTTGACAATCGACAGATTTGAATTTGAAGACCTGACCTTGGCTCAAGAACTAACATGATGGCTGACCTCGTGGATAAACAGTTCAACGCAGTGGTTCGAGTCTTTAATTTATTGGCGCAAGGTGTCAGTGAATACGAAAGACTAAAAGAACTATTCAAGATTTGTTTGTTATTTTCAGCATTCCATGTGACAATATTATACTACCCAGATAGAGGAAGATAGCTATAGTAGTAGATACTAGAAGAAGATACATGTAGCTATAGTAGCAGATACTAGAAGGAAATAGCAATGATATCAGATACTAGAAAAAGTAGCAAATGCTAGCGGCTACTAGAAGAAATGTCTATAGTAGCAGATCGTAGTAACAGTAGCAGCGCTTAAGATTGGGTGTGAATAAAAGGCTTTCCTGTGTACATGTAGTCTATTCCGACACTTGAACCCTACGCAGTCGCTAGTTGCTCAGCATTAACTCCTGAGAGCAAGAGTCTTTGTTAATTGTGCTATTGAAGATTTGCTTGTTATTTGGGCGTGTAACTAACCGAATATCATTTATTATGTTGCTCCACGTCGGAAATTTATACTGAAGAATCGATCAAAGCCAATAGTTCAGACATCAATTGACAGTTGCTCCAGACTCCTTACCATAATCTGCGAATTCATCATATATCAATACACCTGACGGTTCAGGTCACTTTGATGAAAGAAGTTCCAAGAACGAATAACGAAATGGCGCTGCCTCGTCGACGCTGGCAGTTGGCAGACTTCAGAGGGATCTGGCAAACAGCATTGACAGCTGGTCAGGCACCCGGAACGAACCTACGCAGTCTTCAATGTTCTTTATTTTTCTATTTCTTTCCATTTCTTATTTTTTTCTCATCTCTTTCTTTTCTTTCCCCCTCATTCATTGCCTCAACTTCACAACACCCACACTCGCTTCTTCACATTGTACCTCAACTGACCATCACCGCAAGACGCAACCACCGGCAAGATGCCGCCTGAACAACAAACGAGCGCGAGAACCCCGGTTGACCAACTGGCGTACATGAGATTGATGAAGGGCTATCGGGGCCAAGATTCTGCGGACTACTCGAACGTCACCCCCGAGCAGGAAAGGGAGTATTGCAAGGCGGTGGTGGAGAAAGTATTCCAGCTCTGCGCCATTGAACGGAGTGACAATGAGGACTGCTACAACGCATGTGTCGACAAGTGCGTCAGTACAGGCGTGCTTAGAGCCAAAGTCTGGGAGGAATGGGGAGGATATCCCGACTTGAGTCAGAAAATGGCGCGGATTGCAGCGTTGACGAACCAAACAGGGGTGTATCATCTCCTTGACGCCGAAACCGTCGTGGCAGCGATTGCTGTCAAAATGAATCGAACTTTGAAGATAAACGGCAATGACAATGTCACAACGCTGCTCCTCAAATACAAGGTCTTTGGACTCGCCCACGTTTCGGCGAAGGCATGGCATATCGGAGACACCAAGATTATCCGCACTAACAAGCCGTATGGTAAGTCCACGCCTCCTCCAGTTGAAGACACCAAAGTATCTGGAATACGTCAGCTGGATCCTAACAGCAAGTCAGATGACACGGCGCAAACTATGCCCGAGACACGAGCCCCAAGCCCCCAGCTCGAAGTTGGAGGTATCCCAGGACCACTGTTGTGGTCGAGCAGGGGACCGGTGGAGATGTTACTTGGTGATCTGGAGCATTTGGCAAACGTGGGAAACATGGACGATACCACTCGTCAAAAGTTACGAGTTCTTACCTTGCAGGCGGGACACTTGTTCCGAAACATGGAGTTTAAGCGCCGTGAGTAGGCTCAGCCAGACGCAATAACCGGGATGGGGGGTTTTTGTTTTTGTTTTCAGAACCGACCTTTTCTTTTCCAAAACGGTGGCAGTTGTTGGGATACCGTGGTTAGTTACATGGCATAGCAATTCACTATAGCACATAGCTAGCTACAAAACCCTCCACTGCAGTCGGTCGGTCAGTCAGTTGATAGGTATCAATCGATCCATCTTGCAACGTCTTGTGGCCCCTCAATCAATCTCTCTCATATTGATGATCTATTCGACGCCATCGAGACTCATCTAACTAACTAGACTCATCTATCCAGCAAGGCCCAAATTTAGTCATTGTAATTTTGAGCCAACGAAATGTACTAACTGGCATAGTATTTAATTCTTTGGAGAAGATGGCTATTGCCTGGGAGCATGGTGAGCATGGTATTACTTATCAGAATGAACCAGGTGGTATTTAATTTTTGACTGCTACTTGGCCTAGGGTCAGCCGGTTGTTATTTCCTCTAAACTTGTTTGGATACTCAAACCATGCACAAGATGGAAGAGAGAAGCCGTGAGTAACATTGGTCGAAATATTAATACTACCTGTAGATATTAACATGCTGAAGGAGACACGGCAATCACTGCGTTATTCTACTACCGCTACTCTCTTCCACTATCTACCAGTATCACGACCTCTACAATTACGCCACAAGACGCCTAATAATCACTTTCTCAAGCTCGTCACGTACTGCGACCATATGGCCCCAAATCAACAAAGTATGCGGCAATGGCAATCAACCCCCAGTCTGCCAACAGGAGAGCTCCCTGAATCCTGTTACGCTTTGCGTCAGCCAATGACGAAATGATGTGAAGAAGACTAAGAAAGGTAATGGAAACAGAACCTCTCTCTCAGGATATGCTTACCAGTGGTCTTTTCCTGGCGAGACAACAAAATTCAGCAACAATATCGCTGCAAACAAGCTCACAATCTCAAATCCGTCAAATACAAGAGTGACGCCCTGAATGTCGAGCCACCAAGCCAACAAAGTAATAAAAGGCGTGATACACAGGGCTGTCTGTATGCATTTGCCAATCGTACAAGTAATGACGTGATCAACTTCGTCTTTTATAGCCAAGTAGATGGCATATGGATCGCAATTCGGGATTGGAAGCAGGATCAGACCAATAAACGTCCTGGAGAGCTGAGCAGTCGTCGCAAGACCATTGATGCTGTTGACGACGTAATCGACGAGAAAGAACAGTGCAACGTTGGAAGTGAGGAAGAGAAAAATGGCCACTGGCAAATATAACTGTGGGTTCTCATCTTCGCCAACATCTTTTTCGGCATTCGAATTTTCCATGTGCGGTTCTACGATGCCATTTAACGCCAGGGCAGTCGGGACTATCAAGGCGAGTTTCACGTTTGGATCGTGGTTCCCCCATGATTTCGCTGGCACCTTCTGAGATTCCTCAGAAAAGACGTTGTGATGGGTTTTCAACTGATACACTAGAAAGAGAACATAGACGAGTATCAAGAGGACAGATGCTCCCCGGGACTGCTTGGCTAGATTTTCGTCTGAAGTCTGGCCGAGCAGTTTGGATGCAGTCGGTATCAGAAGGCTTGTTGCAGATAGGGATAAGAGGTTTGATGAAACGTGGGCGGTCGTGATGTTGTAAAACTGCTCTGGGCGGCGGAGCCCTCCTGCTATAAAGCTGAGGCCGAGGATGAGGAGAATGTTGGCGAGAATGCCGCCGATAAGGGTGGTCTGGAGGATGACAATCTCTTTATTAACAAGTAGCAAGATGGAGGATATGAGCTGAAATAAATTACTGCAGATGAAAACGTTAGCATTTGTCCGTGACGTGACGATATGCATTCATGACCGGAACAATGAACATACAACGTAGTAATATATAACAAATTACCGTATATCTTTCCGAGTCGCAACTGTATTTCGTCAAGGCCCTGAGCAGCCATGTTTTGAAGGGGGAAAGTTGCAAAGAAATTGACAATGAAGGTCTCAATAGAGTTGCCCCTGACTATATGCAGAACAATCCCAGCAGGAGCCAGTGGAAGAAGGAGGTTCAACCAGCTCTCGAAAAGTATTCGCTGAAGCTGGTTCGCAACGGTGAAGGGCTCTTGAGGTTTGACATGTTGGAAGAAGCCCTCTTTTTCAAGCTTTGTGTTTATCTCCTGCTCGTCGACTGGATCATACCCGCCGACTGGAGGTATGTTCTCTGTTTTGTCCGAACGGGGCGTCCTGTTAACTGTATCGTCACAGTCGCTCCGCCGCCTCCGAAGCGATCTTCCATCGATATCGATGAGGGAGGTGTCGTTATAGTCTTCGTCTACACTATTACCCTCAATTTGCTCCTCCTCGCCTTCTCCACTCAGTCGCCTCCTGGAATCTTGTTCTTCGCAATGGGGACTCTCAGGTATGTTGTCCTGATGACTGATGACATCGAAGGACGAAGAGGAAGGGCCGGAGGGCACAAGGACGGGAGGGGCCGTTGGAGGGCGAGCGGCCCCAGGGCCAGAGGTCGTAGGGTGAGGGGGGTTTGAAGGGCGAGGGGCCGCAGAGCGAGGGATGGAAGGGCGAGGTCTGGTTGCGGCGTAGGGTTGCGCCTCCAGATCCAAAGTCTCTGCTCTCTGTAGCCGCCAAGAAACATGTCGAAATGGATTCCAACCCTCGTTGCTCTGTCGGCTGATGTTACGCGCCCGGCGCTTGATGCGAAAGTGGTTAACTAAGAACAAATTGTTAGCTAGCAATTAATGGAAGGCGGAAACTCTTTGCTTGATTGCGGATGAAAATCCGGGGCTTAGATCTAGTACAACTCACACGTATCCATTTGTTGATTCACTCGCTTGCTTGCATCTCAAGATATTGGAGGCTCCGTTGTCGATATAGGCGCGGGTCCTCAACTGACTATCCTCGGTTAGACAAGTTTCTCTGTCGCGTTCCGTCAAGGAAATAAACAGCATACAATCCCAAACAGTCTAGAGAAAACAAAAAATCGCTAGGTACGTGTAGATGCCTAATCCAAGCCCAACACGTGTCGACAGCGCGAAAGTACATCCGCCAGCCTGATGTTCAGCGGTTTGTGGCTGTATGTGCTGCGTCCAATAGAAACGCTGTCCCTGGAGATAGATGAGTATGCCGAGATGGGTCGCGTCATAACAACAGGGTTGCATTGTTGAGAAATAGAGCCAGTCTGATTGGCTATGTGCATCGCTTTCGAATTGCTCTTCAAGGCTGGCCATCGATGCGGTTCCAGACACAGTGCCTGAAGTTGCTATTATTGTGACCGGAGATTTTCTATCACAATCATCAAGCTTTTACAAACATCATATGAAAAGGTTGTTTCTTTTTTATATATAATATTACTATGCTCTGCTTATATACATACCACAATAGAGCATTCTGCTTGCCTTGTATAGGGGAGTACCGGGTTTGCAGCAACTCAACTTGGTCATCAAGTATCCCGTGTTGCAAACACTACCAAATACTAGATCAATATACAGATATCTACTAAGGTGTAGTAGCTAATACAAGCTTGATACCCGCTATCGTTCATAGGGGTGAGCAAAGCTGCTGCGTTAATCAAGGTCTTCCAATTTGATTGAGACCTTCCAATCCGAGGCCACCTAGATAGGTAGATCACGGTCATCCCGTTCAATCAAGGCTATCGCTATCTAGATAGAAGGGGAATTTAGTTAATACCCTCCGGGGGCGCCTGCCGCGGGCTTTACCTGCGGCGCTATACCTACGGCGTCTTATAGGCATATTTGGACTCATGGGACGAAGGAAGCAAGACGGAACAGGCCTTAAGGTAATCCACCAGTTTGGAGCACTACCTAATAATTGCCACTCCCGACGTGAGCAAGTATCCTGCCCTGGAACAGTTTAAACTGGCAGTGCATAGTCGGTCTATCTGTCTATATACCCAATCTGGGGTCGTTTCCTTCGGTGGTTGAGGGGACATGGGGGTCCATTGGTCTGGGAAGCGTCAACAGTTGAACGGCCACGCAACTAATTTCTTTTTATTCATCAATTGGGCACGACAGAAGAATGATCGAGACGATCATATTTCTTCAAAAAGAGAACTGTTCGGACCTTTCAATCTGTCGAGACAGATATGGTTCGCCGACCTCGCAAGGAAACACCCCTGGATGAGGGAAGACCATTTGTCGGGCATTATCCCTTTGGACGTGTCACAGAATCATCAAGGACAACGACCCGGCATGGGTCCTAGGATCCCGTCACATGGAGAAAGCAGACGGTGTATACACACCACGAAAACGACCTCAAGACAACACCGCGACGGGAAACAGCGCAAAGGTATGTGGTCATCAAGCTAATACTGGCAAGACTACCGAATTATATATAAATGCTCGGTTCTTGAAGTATCTGCTAGTATAACTATCATCTGCTACTATAACTATATTTTTCTAGTCTCAGCTACTAGGTACTATAACGATATTTTTCTAGTATCAACTACTATAATTATCTTCATCTAGTATTCAGTATTATTTACGACTAGTACGGAGACTTAATAGCAAACTTGAAGTGCTGAATACCTGGCATTTATTATGACACGTATGGCCGAGTGCTCTCTCATTGTACATATATACTCATTAGGGAAGGCGTCTAAAACATGCTTTGGCAAGGTTTTTTACCTAATAAAGGCTTTCAGTCATCCAGATTCATATGAGATATTCATCACGGAAGTAACACAAAAAGCTCATCATTAAAAGCATCGACTTAGTGAAACCATCAACTTACACCATAATCTCATTCAGTCTTTCTCACAAAATATCCGATAGTAACCTAGCAAGGCATTCCAAATCTTCTACCAAATAAACTACATTAATCCCGCTCGTCAAAGTAAGAATCATCATATCTTCTCCGGCATAGCTTCACGATATTCTCCATCTCATTCCAATCTCCCCATCATCCATCTCCTCAACGTCCACAACACACTCCCACCCATCCCCCATGTAACTATCGCCATCCCGACTCCATCTCTCTAAGCCCCATTGTTGACGCCTTGTCCAATAGAATCACCTCCCGCTGCCGCTAATGCACTGAAACGACGGGATCCTTGAACCTGTTTACGACATAACAACATGTTGCATTTTGGGAACGTGGAACGAGACTGATTGGCTGTGCGGACCTCGGTCGAACTAGTCTTTGCGGAGTTGCTCCAGAAAGACCTTGACATGAAATCGTAAGATACAGATGACGACACTCAAAAAGAGAAACGGAAGAAACCAAAGGTAAAGATGATCATTTCATATCCCGCGTGGCTTCATAGGCCCTTATTCATATATACACCAAGGGAGAGCACCCTGCCACATTCCCATGCTAAATTTACACTCAATTCATTATTTTAAAAATATCCATTCGACGACAGCCACTGCTTCAGCGCATCCGAGTCACGCTTCTTGTACGCAGCTCTGCCCCTGATTCTGTCCTTGGCCGTCTCCAGAGTGCGGTCAAAGCTGTTGGTGTCCTTGTCCTTGAAGAACTGCTCAATATCGTCCAGAATAGCGACGTCGGTAAAGGTGTTCAAGCTGATGCCGACGTAGCGGTCAAGAACAATGGGGTTGCCGAGCTTGGCAACGGCAAGATCCCAGTTGTTCTTCAAAAACTCCCACTGGAGGGTGCGACCAACGACATGGCGAGCCAGGTTGCCACCGAGGACGTGCATGTCGGCAGCGGGGACGGCGTCCTGAGGGGGGGAGGTGTTGAAGTTGAAGGGAATGAGGTTGTTCTTGATGATGTCGGCGTCGTCGACGGCGGCGAGAGCAGCGAGGGCAATGAGCTTGCCGTCAATGGCCTTGGTGGAGAACCACTCGTTCTTGAGGACCTCGACGTTGCGAGCAGCGTTGTCGTCGAGACCGGCACGCCAGACGGGACCACGCAGAGAGGGAGTGATGGCATTGGTCTCGGGGTTCTCAACCCAGGCGTTGAATCGCCTGAGGGCTTCAGCCTTGACCCTGTTTATTGTTAGTCACTGATGGGCAAAATGATCATGCAAAGTTGGGGGAGAAGCTTACTCAGGGTGGTTGGCGGAAACGGCGCTGCTAATGAGGTCGTTGCGGAGAATACCAGCAAGGTAGTTCTCGCCCTCGGGGAACTCCCATCCAACCCCCTTCACCTTTTCGTCAATCAGCTTGACGATAAAGTTGTTGAGGCCCTTCTTAATCTCCTTGTCTTCTCCAAAGACAGACTTGAGGTTGCTGAGGCTGCCCAGGATCTGGCTCCACACGAGGGGGTGTGCCTCCTTCTGGAAGCCCTGGAGGAAGGTAAGCAGAGCGGAGGCAGAACTGTTGCCGGCAAAGGCGAGATTCGCAGTCGAACCAATAATGGCAATCTTGTCCTCGGTGTTGAGCTTGTCGAGCTGGGTGCTGAGCTTGGCCAGACGAGAAGGGGGGTAGGCCACTCGGTAGAAACCAGTGGCGTTGCTGTTGAGCTTGTAGAACTCGGTGTCAACGTCGAGGATGGTGTCCTCCTTCTTGTCCAAGGAGAGGGCAGCGATGCCGCTCTCGCCCTTTTTGCCAACCAGACCGAGAGGAACCCACCAGGTGGTGGTATCGTCCTCGGGCTTGACATCGCCGGTGGACAGGAAACGGGACTGCTTGATGGCAATCTTGCCAGGCTCTTCGGAAACGGTCAAGACGGGGTGGCCAATCTTGGAGATCCAGGGGTGCATAATCTCGTTAACGTTCTTGCCAGAGACATCAGCCAAGGAATCCCACAGAGCCTTGGTCTTGGCATTGCCGTAGGCGTGGGCCTTGAGGTAGTTGGAAACGCCTTTGAGGAAGGTCTCGACGCCGAGGTGGTTGGCCAGCATGCGGATGGCGGAGCAGCCCTTGAGGTAGCTGATGGCGTCAAAGATCTGGTTGATGTCGAGGGCATCACGGACAGGGACGTGGATGGGGTGGCTGGCGCGGATGCCGTCCAGGCTGAAGGCGCTCTCCATGCCCTCGTTGACAAACTGGGCCCAAACTTGCCAGTCGGGGTGTAGGTGGTCCACGGCGTGCCACCCGACCCAGGTAGCGAAACCTTCGTTGAGCCACAGCTCATCCCACCAGTCCATGGTGACCAGGTTGCCGAACCATTGGTGAGCAAGTTCGTGGGCGACGACGTAGGCGACGGAGTTCTTGTATCGAGCATCAGACGTCTTTTCGTCAAAGAGGACCTGAGTGGTACGGTAGGTAACGAGACCCCAGTTCTCCATGGCGCCGTGGGTGAACTCGTGGACGGCAAGCAGGTCGGACTTGGGAAGAGGATAGTCAATGTCGAAAATCTCGGAGAAGAAGTCGATGATCTTGGGGGCGTGCTCCAGAGCCCAGCGACCCTGCTCCTTGAGGCCACGGGTGGTGTAGACGCGGACGGGGATCTGCTTTCCATTGTACTTGCGGTCGGTCAGCTGCTCAATGTACTCAAAGTCGCCGACAGCCCAGGCCAAGAGGTAGGTGCTCATGACGGGAGACGTCTCGAAAGAAACCAGCTTCCAGCCCTCCCTGGTGGGCTTGGTGTCCTTGACGGGCATGTTGCTCAGGGCGACCTGGTCGGCGGGGATCTCAATCTCCAGGTCGTAGGTGGCCTTGAGGTTGGGCTCGTCGAAGCAGGGGAAAGCTCGGCGGGCATCGCAGGCCTCGAACTGGGTGCTGAGCATGTAGTGCCACTCGTCGTCGTGGGGAACCGAAGCGGCCGGGGTGACGGCAGGCTTATACTTGCTGCGGTAGAAACCGGCCATCTCGTTGTTGATGATGCCCTCGAACTCGACGACGAGGGAGGCCTTGCTGGAAACGGGGAGCTCGCTGTCAAAGGTGACGGTGGCGCGCTGGGCCTTGTTATCGTAGGAGATGTTGGAGGACTCCCATGACTGCTCCGACTTGGTGCTATTGACGAGGACCTTGGCGTTGAAGACTTTGAGCTCGAGGGTGTTTAGGACGACTTGCTTGGTGGGCTTGACGATTTCCGACTGGATGCTGTAGTTTTGGTTGTTTAGCTACGTACGAGCAGACGAGAGAGACGAGGGGAGAAGAGAAGCTTCGGCCAGTCCTTACGTCACGGTGCCCTTGTAGGTCCAGTTCTTGAAGTCAATGTCCCGCAGAGACAAGACATAGTGCGAGGGCTTGATGTTGTCGGGGAGAACGTCGCGGTCGGCCATTTTGTGCGGATTGTTTGCTCTGATGTGTGCAGAGCAAGATCGATGGGGGATCAAAGGGAGAAAGCTGCAGACGAGACACAGGGAGGGGCAGGTTAGCTTTATGCTTGATTATGACGGCCCGAGCAGCTAAGAGGACACGAGCCCAGCAAAAGACAGACGCCGGAAGAGGGAACGGAGAAGAAGACGATCGATGGTAAGCTCGGCCGAGATTTCAAAATGGGGCTCCGAGGCGGGAAAAGAGCTACAATGAGGTCAAGCTTTTTGGTCTTTTTGTCCAAACATGGAAGCCAAAATATTTATTCTGGGCCATTTTTGGACCGCCTTGAGCCGCTGCAGCTGCGGGGCGGCTCGGCGTCGAGTTTGGAGTTGGCGGGTACAAAAGTGCAAACGCCAAAAAGAGAAAAAAAAAAATAGGTGAGAGAGAAGAAGAAGATAAAGGGCATGAGATCGGGGAACAAGGAGGGGGAATCATTGTGCAGCAGGTTAGACTACATGTACATAGTCCCAGCAATTTGGAGAGGATACATGAGAGCTGAAGAGGCCGGAAGCGGGCATAAGAGGCGTTTTGGTGGTGATGGTGATGATGGGGTTGAGATGAGATGAGATGAGAGGAGCAAGTAAATAAACACAACATACCTGCGAATACCAGATCTGGTGCGAGACGACCAAGGCGAAGACGGACAAGACGAAGATGGATTCGAAGAAGCAGTCGACACAGACAATGATCGAGACCGAGACCAGCAAGGCCAAGACACAGACACAGACACAGACACAGGCAAGGCTGACGACGCCGCGCTCCCAAAGAACCGGCCCTGTCGCATCCCAATCCCAACTCCAACTCCATATCCAACTCCAATCCTCGCCTCACCAGCAACCAAACGCTCCCATCCCGAACCCCCCAGCCGGCGCTGCACCAGCCTCATCACCCCACCCATGTCCCGTCGATTCGTTTCAAAAGTCGTCGAAATCTCCAGAGTCTTCACCACATGATACCCCCAAAACCCCAATTCCCCTCCAAGACACACCAATCAATGAATTCAACTTCAAAACAAGTATAAAAACTCTCCCAAAAAAGGGTAAGCAACTCCAATTCGGCCCAGTCAACAAACCAAACCAAATAGAAAAAGCCAAGACAAAGTATTGAAAAGGATAAAAAAAAAGTACGGGCTCTACTATAATTCCCGCTCCACCATAAAAATCCCGTCCTTAGCCCGAGCTTCTCCTTTGTATGCTAGTCACATACTCCGTTCCAGCACTTTTGTAGCCCTTTTTTTCTTCTCCTACAAACGTACCATTTATAAATAAAGGCCATCACAAAATGATATACTAAACAAAAGGACCTGCCGCTTTTTTTACAAAAAGTACGTAAAGAAACCCAAATGCTCCCTAGGGAAAAAAAAAAAATAGTTACCCATCGAATGTCCACTTTCGGGGGGCCCATCGGCAGCACCAGCCGAAGCCGAAGCCGAAGCCGAATAAACTATCTGCTTTTCCCATCCACTTACTGACACTTGCGTTGAAGATTGCAGCAGTTGTAGCTAGTGAAATGAATAAAGATTTAGGAGCATCTCAATATGGCAGATTGTGATAGAATGGTGTATCGTACAATGTTGAGTACAGATCCAAATCAACGCCTCATTCCTTGATCGAGATACCGTGGAATGTATATAACGACCCAAAAGTCAGACAAGGCATCACCTCAACATCACAGAAAAACACAATGTTCTCAAAATCACACAATAGCATTCTTATATAATATGAACCTCACTCACAAACCCCCAATAATCACAAAAGAAAAAAGTAATCCGCTGTCAGCGACTCAATTCCCCCCCCCCCAACAAAGATATAAGGTATATAATAAAGAACCCTTAATCGCCCAAAGAAAAAACAAAGCTCATGTTACAAAAAGACAAAACAGCCCTCGTGTTTAAAAAAGACAAAAGCTCGTGTTATAAAAGAAACAACGATGCCGCTTAAAAAAAAAAGAATCCCCTCCACCATCGAAAAAGACGCTGCTGAGCCCCAGCTCAATACCCAGAATTTGACTCCCTCAGATCGGTATCACCACACAACCCCTAGCTTTAAGCAACCTAATGATAAAAATAAAAAATAAGAAAGATATGCAGTCTCCCGTAAAACGCCACGTCTTGCAACGGCTCCGATGAGGAGCCCCGGTCTCTGAGAATTCCACCACATAAGAGATGAAATGAAATGTGAAAAGGAGACAGAGGAAGGGAAAAAAAAAGGACGTAAAAGAAATAAAGACAGAACGACCTAAAGACAGCCAGTCTCTCACTCGGTCATGTATCCGTCAAAACGGCTGAATAGGATAGGTGAGCCCCTCATCATCCCACAGACAACGTGTCTAAGCATCTGCATCATCCTGCTGGGCCTTGTTCGCAACCACGTCCCACCACGGCGCGTGGGCTGCTCGATCAACCGCTCCCACCTTGTCCAGCAAGTCAGACATTTGCCTAACCTTTTCCACAAACTCGGACAGCCCCAGGCTTGCCAGCTTCTCGCCCGCCGTGTTGGCAGCCTTGACCTTTTCGCTGGCCGAGCCCGACGCCAGGCGAGCCAAGATGTTGCCCCGTAGACGCGTGAGGAGAAGGCGCAAGACCGGGTCCCGCGGCTCCGTCGACCGGAGGGCCATTTCTCGGCTCGCCGTCAGCACCTTGGTCACCAGGGCACGCAGGTGAGTCTTGGTAGGAGGAGGCATGGAGCGGCCCGCCTCCAGAGCGGCCATGGTGCCTTCGACCGCCGTCTCCACCGAGGCGTGGTTGGCCTCGAGGACGGCCATGACACGGGCCGCCTCCGTCTTCCACGCCGACCGCACGTCGCGCTTGAGCAGGTTTTTGCACTGCAGCAGCACGGCACCCACGGTGATGATGCGCTGGACCATGGTCGACACCTGGTTGATGCGGGCCTGGTCGAGGCGGAGCATCTCCGGAATCTGCTCGGGGCCAACCGGCGTGGGCTGCGTAAAGACGTCCACGAGCATCTGGGCGTAAATCTTGGACGCCGTGGGTCGCGACTTGGGGTGGTTGATGCCTTCAACGTCCCGCTTATGCACCTCGGCCATGACCTTGTCCTTTGCTGACCGCCAGGCAGCCTCGGCAACCGGCAGGTCGTCCTGTTCGTCCCCGAGCTCCTCGCCGAATCGTTTCGCCTCGTACGGGACGGCCGATTCGATGAGTTGCGGCGCCGCACTCTTGAGCAGGTAGTTGATGTAGTCGCAGAGCATGACGTCGACGAACCGGTCCAGGGCCTCGATCCTGTCAATCACGTTGCCCTCGCCCAGCTTGTTTTGCACGAGGTCCTTGACCTGGTCGTCTCGGAACGGCGCGCACAGCTTGGGCAGGAGAGACGCCATGGCCGAAAAGAACTTTTCGTACGAAAAGCTTCCCATTTCAAACTGCTTCTGCGCAATGTCCACGTCCAGGATTTCGCCAATCAGGTTGTACATTGAGTTTCCCTCCTTGAGCGGACGCTGCAGCTTGTCCTTGATGTGGCTGGCCCTGAGCATAAAGATGCGAAAGTTTGCCTCGTCCGAGGCGTCTCCCATGGCCGCCCGCATCTGGATGTAGAGAGGTCGAGAATAGGCAGCCTGCTGCTCCACATACTCCTCGGCAGGGATCTGGTACTCCTTGTTAATGGCCAGCTCGTGCACGACGACGCGGTTGTCGGGAATCAGGCCGTTTAGACCGGGCTTAACGGTGGTTGCCTTGGCCTGGCTCTTGCTGGCCGGCGTCGAGGGAGGCGTGAGCATCTGAGAATCAGACGAGACAAAGTCGTTGGCCGTCGTCTGGGCATCGCCCGACACGCTTTCGCTGTCGGCGACTCGGGGCTTGGTATCGCCGGCCTGTTTCTTGGCCCTGCGTGCTTTCCTCGCCTCCTTGATGGCCTGTACAAACAGCTTCTTGCCCTTTTCTGGGCCTGCCAGCCTCTTGATTCTTACAATCAGCATGGTCTGGCTGTCTTCGATGCTCTTGCGGTACAGCGCGGCGGCGGCATCGTCCGAAGTCTCCTTGACGGTGTGGTAAATGGCGTCGAGCTCCACCATCTGCATCAGCATGACCTCGATGAGGGCATTCGAGTCCCTCGACTTCCACGCAATGAATGCGTTGTAGAAGACGGAATAGGCCTGCGGGAACGTCGTGTGCAGAGAAGGGGGCATTGTGTATCGGTTGGCCGGGGACAGCCAGGCCAGGATATTTTCAAACGAAATCAAGACATCCTTTGCTTTGTCGACCAGATCCTGCAGCTGGGGGTTGCTGAGATCGGTGGCGGGCAATCGATGGCCGCTGAGCTGTGATTCCAACTCGCCGTCTTCCGGACCCTCGTCAAAGTTGTTGAGCACTTGGTTGGGATGGCCAAGAATGAGGAAAGCACTCAAAAACGTGCGGACCGCCGCCATCTCGTCGACAGAGCCCGGCTCTCCCTCTTGGAGACCACAGATCCTGAGAAGCCGGGCCGTGACCAGGAGAACCTTTTCCTGAGCAAGCAGCTGAACGACAGTATCGAACGAGGTGTCTCTGATGCCATCCACGCTGAGGCCAAGGGCGTTGAACTCGCTGAGAATCTTCTTCCTCGCACACCCGCGCCACCAAGTCTGGATCTTGGTAGCTGCTTCGTCGTCGGTCATCTGCACGGCCTTGGCCTGCGGCAGCGCTTCCGTAGACCTTTTGTTGACGACGCTGTGGCCCCTGGCACGCTTGACAGCCGTCTTGTTTCGCAGCTCCTCCCTTCGCCTCTGCGCCTCGGCCATGCGCTCCTCCATCTGCGCCTTCATCTTTGCGATTTCCTGCTCGCGCCGCTCCTTGGTGGACTCGGCAATCTGCTTGGCCTTTTTGACCTCCTCGGCGCAGCTGGCCACAATCTCGGCCAGGTTGCGCTGCCTCGCCTGCTCGGCGGCCAGCGCGCGTTCCTCCGACGTCGTCTGCCCGCGAGGCGCCGCCTTGGCCAGGGCAGCCCTCAGGCGCACCTTTTCGGCGTGGGCA